GAAAAGAAAGAAATATTAATTGTAATTGAATAGATGTACAATGCAAGTGAGGTATCTAGTTATATTAGCCGGAAAATCTGTGATTGTATATGTAATTGAAAATATGGATGCACAAACGCTTGTAACCAAATGACATGCTGTATGTAATGGATGAGAATTTTTTTTTAATGTTGTCTTTTATGTTTAAAAATAAAAAAAAATAAAAAAAATTGTAGGAGAAAGCATAAAAGGATAAATTTATTCTCATTTTTGCAGAAGCATTTTATCTTCATCTGGCTCCTCAGCAATTGAATCACAAATGGCTTTTAAAACTCTCTCAAATTTAGGAAACAGTTACTTAATCTTGAGAATCTTGAGAAGTGGAAACACAGCCTATGTTTTTATTTCTTTTTTTCCATTTTTTTCTTTCTGCAGAAATATCTGATGCTACCACAGGCTTTGAAAAATGGTAGTGGGGAAGTAGGTATCTTTGCTATTCTTTTTGCAACATCATTTTGATGGTAAAATTAGGTGATTCCCCTTTAGCTTTCCACATGCTGAAGTAATAATTGGTGAAGATTCTAAATTTTTTGGATGTACTTTAAGCAGTGAAATAAATATGAATTGGTTCCACATTAGAATAAATAACTCATTGTAACCTATGTACCATATTTTTCGCACTATAAGATGCTCCAGACTATAAGATGCACCTAGCCTTTGGAGAGAAAAACAAGAAAAAAAATCTAGCACAAGTAGCTGATTGGCAGTTGGATCTGCCTCCTGGAATATTGCTGATCAGCTGTTCCAGGCTGCAGGGATCGCTACTGCCTATCACCGCCGACACCCATCGCCGCCTCCAAGCACCCCATTTTCGGCCTCCAGATGTCCTGTTTCCAGCCTCTGCGCATCTCATTTTCAGCCTCTGTGTGTCCTATTTTCAGCCCGTTTTGGCTGAAACTACCACCTGGAAGGGGCACGAAAACGGGACGCAGGGAGGCTAAAATGGGGCACATGGAGGCCAAAAATGGGGCATGCAGAGGCAGCGATAAGCAGCATTGATTGGTGGCAGTGATCCCTGCAGCCTGGAACAGCTGATCAGTGGTGTTCCAGGAGGGAGATTCAATCACCAATTGCCTGCTCGTGCTAAATCAGGCTGTGCTGAAGCTGACCAGGCTGTTTGCTGTTTATTACAAGGAGGCAAATTGCTGGGAGGCAGAGGCTGAAGGGTGGGGGCCGGCGGGTGAGTGGGGCTTTGGCAACATTCACTCTATAAGTTGCAGACATTTCCACCCACTTTGTGGGGGGGAGTGCATCTTATAGACCAAAAAATACGGTATTTAAGCTGGATATGGGGTTTGCTTTTCTGTGTCACTCTCAGCAATGAACTTTGTTTCTCTTTCTTTTTGAAAAGGGCAACAGTTAACCAAATCTTAGGAAGAAATTCTATCGGATCACTCTATTTGTTTAGTCAGAAAATAAAACTTCAGGAAGCAGTTTAGTGCTTCCCATGTCTATTGCACTTGGTCTCCTTGGAAAAAGGAAGAGTTAAACTATTTATGAAAAGAACTATTTTAAATTCCTTCTAAGTAATTTCTATCACTAGGGTCTTTGTCCTGAAATGTAGTGTTGCCAAGAATGATAGCAATTTATGAAGGCCTACTATTAACTAGGTCATTAATATTATATCAGTGTGGAAATCTGGAGCATTTTAGGTATTTCTCTTGACCACTTGATCCTCACTCAAATGAAAGAAAGTTCTATGGAAGTGTTTGCTTGAGTGCATTTAATATTTTCCAAGTAACTTGGAGAAAAGTACTTTCGGTGTCTTTAATGGGAGTTTATCTATAAACATTACCTATGATGTCTTACAGTTTCAACCACTATTAAAGATACACTTATATGCCTAGCTTCTAAGTCTGGCAAGTCAAATGTGTACCCTTCTACCTAGAAGGAAGCAAAACACCGAGCAGATAGCCTTCTCACATTAATGAAATAATGAAACAAGCAAGAGTGGGGCTGTTAATTATTCATAAACATGATGAGAAAAGCTGCATAACTGAATAATTTCAATTTGAGAGTCATCATATTTCATTAGAACTGCCCAGGCACTGGAAGATATCCCAAACAGTGTGATAAAATAAGTATGGACTACACATTCCCTTCAGTGCTTAGTACTCTAGAAATTATTTCTGAAATGAAGTGATCCATGCACACACACAAAATGGACATTTGTATATATGAAAAGCAGGTTGACTAATAAAAGAATATTATTATCACTATTTCCAGGCTGTAAACCTGATTAAATTTGAAAATAAATTAATTTGAGTGATTTAAACAAATTGCTACTCCTGTGATCTTATTTGAACGATGGGTCAAAGGATTAATATATTAGCTATCACATTCACATGTACAACTTTAATTTAAAAAAGAACCCAGAAGACTTGATATATAGAAGTAAAAAATGTTTATAATATTTTACACATCATCTTACAGATCTTTAATCAACATTTGGTAACAAATAATACCAACAACAGAAATGGAATATCTGCAAAGTAATATCTCCTTTCTATATTCTAATTAAATTTTCCAATGATTACACTCTGAATTAATTATCCATTAATGCTTACCAGGAGGATTGATGAAATATTGTTAAGAGTTTAATTCTCACCATATAGAAGTCTTATATATGAAACCTTTGAAAGTCTGCTTTGAATGGGGAGAGCTTTTCCCATTTTCCACTAATGATTTAATAGCAAAGGATTGAAGGATAATAGCTGATATTACTATTTATAAAATAAAATAAGGAACTGTAACTCATTTCCCTTGTTAGTAAGCTTAATAAAGGAACTGAATAATATACTGCAGAAACAGTATCAGATATAGTAGCAAATATTTTGGACCAGAAGTCTAACATAATTGGGAGGCTCCACCAAATAATGAATCATTAAGCTGGTAGAGTAGAATTTATGCTTTTAGTCTCACTGGAATAAAATGGTACATATAAACAATTTTTACTGCTGCCTCTTTTAATTTTGCAGATGTCTTTAAAAGTTCGGCAGCCCATATTTCATCCCAACTTGTATATTGAGTAATTAAATTGAAGTGACATTCCCAGAGTATTTTTAGTGTTTTAGTCTTCTTCATGTGCAAAATATCTGGAGTTTTTATGAAGGTTGAGTTGACTGATGAGCTAATGTTTAGCCTTTCAAAACAGTGAGTCATCTCTTTTACAGAAAGATCTTTATGACCCATAGCCAGAACATCCAAATATCTTCCAGTCTGTTTGTTCTTTCTTCAGAACTTGCAGGTTTCCCTCCTACAAATACATTTCTGAATTAATTTCTGAATTTCTGAATTCCTTTAGACTCATAAGACATACTTGAAGCATGGTTGTTCAAAGATTAGAGAGGATATGGATGAATCTGGTTAGCTTTCAAAGGCTTCCAAATTTCAATCTTCAAGAAAAATACTGTCTAATTGGAAGACTATAAGTACAGTGGAACCTCGGGTCACGAAACTTCCAACCACGACCAAATCAGGTGCTGACCAAAAAGTCTGCTAAATGTTTTACTGTGGTTGCGAACACATCCTTGAGTGGCGATCGAACACAGCTGCGATGATTTTCCCTGCCACCCCCTTTTCGGGGGGGTCATGCATACTCAGTCAGCCTCACTTCCAGTCACAACCAAATTGGGTTGCAACCGAAGTCCTGAAACGGTTTACTGTCGTGACCAGAGGCTCCACTGTATGTAAGAAAGAATGACTATAATGGTAGGCTTAGAACCTTATGTTCCTTATGTTAATATATCAAACCCTGTGTTTTTTCCAATAATTATCTAAGGTGAGCTGTCTGCTGATTATTAGATGAGATGGCTGGAGGAACATTCTACACATGTGTAATTTGAATAGTACTATACAACAATAACTGATGCAACCTGCATTTGCCACCAGTTAACCTAGAACTGTAGAATTAAAAGATAATGTTCAGGAAGCTATTAAAGATCTGGCTATTCTCCCAGGCTTTGGGGCAAAGCAAAAGTTGAGTCACTGGTAGATTGGGGTCTGGTGGGATGTTGATTATGTGATGTTTTAGGACTATTCATTTTCTTTTCCCCCCTCTTTTTTACTTTTAATTGTAAGCTGCCCAGAGTCATTGGGAGGTGGATGGCATATAAGTTGTATGTATATTACACTGTATTTATGTGTAAATAAATAGATTGTGGAAGAAACTATGGGGATCATCTAGTCTAACCTTCTGCAATATGCAGGAAAGACAATTAAGGTAATAGCCTGGAATATGATGGATTCTCTTACATGGCCTCACCTTGAAATTCACTATTTACCTTTATCTTTGATATACTGTAACCCCATGTTTTCTAGTCTAAGGTCATTTTAACAGTGAACCTCAAGAAAAAGCCTTAAAGACTGCAATTAATTGCCTTTTAAAATCAGCAACTTATATTAATTCTATGCTTCTGCACATATCACAGATACACTTACATGCACTCCTTCTGAACACTATTTTTTAAAAAACTAAGGATAAAACAAAAGATACTGTTTATTTAGAATTAAATTTGCACCACATGCTGCCCTCTTGTGGAAAACAAGGATAGAAATAATATAATTATTGCATAGCATGTCAAGAAATCAGTCAATAATTTATGAACAGGAGTGTGGGGGGAAAAAGAACAAAGTTACATACAGCATTGACAAATTAATTAAAGAAGCTATGGAATAATGTGATTTGTCTTACTTTTTTTTTACTGCGTATCATAACATAATCCTATCCCAGCCATACAAATGTACTGTATTTTCTTTATTTAAATTATCTTTTTAAAGGTAATTTTTAAACACAAGCTTAACATATTTATACAGTGAAATGTCATATAAAAATACTTATCATTGCCTACATACATGAATAAGAGAATTATAATTTCCCGCCATTCCTGACACACAGTTTTTATTCATTTTGCATTGGAATGTCTGAGAACATAAATATTCACTTTTCCTCCAGGGTAACTCAAATAAATGATAAATATTGAATTGGCTACCAGAATCTTGAGAAATAATGGATTCTGTATTAAAAAAAAGTTTATTTTCACTTTAAAATCCACTTGAAAGTCTATTGTACTATTTCTTTTTAATGAAAAAGCACAAGACTCACATCATTCTTTGGTTTGGTTTGAAATTACACTTTGAAAACCATTCCTTTCTCATATCACAGCAACATTTAAGCTTGTGCTGCCTTCTTCATCTTTGAAATTCCAAGGTGAACTGATTGGATATTTCCAAAATGGTGGATCCACTCTTTTAAACTGCTGCCATCATGAAATTTCAAAAATTGCTTTTCAAGAATATCCACTTAATCATGATTAGTTCATTCTTGCATCACTTTCAAGACAATTGGGCAACTTTTCTAAAACAGACAGTCACCAGTGGAAAATGAGAAAAAAGGGGGGAAAAACCTCATGAAATGAAATAATTATATATTTAATTTAAAATATACATGTTGTATACAATTGGCTCATCAGTTTCCTCCAGACTCCCCTATGAGAAGAATATAAAACAAGCCTGTACAGTTAAGAACTCAAAGTTTTTTTAAAAATGTAATAAACATTATTTGTAAGGTCTCAAAAATCTGGAGACCTTAGAGCGCAACAGTCGAATGAAAGATCTTGGAAACATTTCCCTAGATTCTTGTGCTGTATACTTAAAGTAATTCTGTGGGTGGGCCAAGACATCAAACAACGCCTTTATCAGCTTCTTATCCTGAAAGAATAAGTTCAATATTTTTAATCATATGATGTTGACTTGAAGAAAACAAAAGTGTAGCATCTAATATAGTAACTATTAAAAACTAAAGTCAGAAAAGGACTATTAACCAGGTGATGCACTATTATTTTTATTTATGTCAGACTTAGATCCTGCCTTTTGTTGAGAAGCTCAAGGCAGTGTAGATGGTATTGTCTTTATTTTTTTAAACCAACTATCCTAAGACATAGGTTGAGCTGTGTTGGTGTGTGTGCATGAGTCAGAGAGAGACAAACTCAGTGAACCTCTACACTATGGTTGATGTATTTCCTGATGGATATTACAATCTCTGAAACCCAGTATCATGCAAGAACTCTTGTATTCGCACTAAAACATAGGGCTATTTTAGCAATGTTAAGATCAACATTTTCTATTGTCTTTACCACTTCATAAGCTGGAAATAATATTTTTTTACTTTCAAATTTTCTACCCCCTCCTTAACTATATACAGATAGGCCTCGACTTACAAGTTCATTTAGTGACCATTCAAAGTTACAACAGCACTGAAAAAAGTGACATGACCATTTTTCACACATACAACCGTTGTAGCATCCTCATGAGCACATGATCAAAATTCAAACATTTGGTACTTACATGTATTTATGATGTTTGCAGTGTCAAAGGCAGGGGTGAAATGCTACCGGTTCAGACCAGTTCACCTGAACCGGTAGTAATAAAATGCTACCGGTTCAGGCGAACTGGTATTTCCGATGATCAGCTGTGATGCACGATTTATATTAGCTAGAAAGCAGGTTTTCCTGCTTTGTAGCTAATCTAAATCACATGGCTTAGCGGAGCCCCCCCAGCTGTTCTACTTACCTTTGCAGGTGCTCTCGGTAGCAGACTCCACCCACCTGCCCAGACATCATCATGTCCGCTTTTGATGCTCTGCTCATGCGCGTGCTCACATTTGCAAACCACTAGCGAATGTAAGTAGATTTCACCCCTGGTCCAAGGCTTATGTGATCCCCTTTTGGGGTTTTCTGACAAGCAAAGTCAATGGATTCACTTAATCCATTCACTTAACAACCACTTAGCTATGGAAATGTTGGGCTACAACTCAATTGTAGTTTTAAGTCGAGGACTACCTGTATAGTCTCAGGGCACATGAATAAAGAAACCACTTTTGTTTTTTTGCTTCAAATAATAATGTACTTTTAATCAGCACTGCCTCAAGTAGCTATTCAAGAGTTCCAGAGTTGCAAGGCAATATTTGTATAATATATAATAATAATAATAATAATAATAATAATAATAATAATAATAATAATAATAATAAAAAACTAAAAAAATCACGCAGACTGATTATAAATTGCGGCACAATTCAGTAGCACAAATGATCCATTGGAATTTGTGCAAAAATTATAATATCAAAACAGCAAAAAACTGGTGGGAACATCAGCCTGAAAAAGTCACTGAAAATCAGATGGTCAAGATCTTGTGGGATTTCCGTATACAAACTGACAAAATACTGGCGCATAATACACCAGACATCACACTGGTTGAGAAAAATAAGGTCACAATCATAGACATCGCAATACCAGGTGATAGCAGGGTCGCCGAGAAGGAACATGAAAAAATCGCAAGATACCAGGACTTAAAAATCGAAATTCAACGACTATGGCACAAACCAGCAGTGGTAATTGGCACACTGGGTGCTATTCCAAAAGCATTGGAATTACATTTAAAACAGTTAAAAATTGACAAAATCACCATCAGTCAAATGCAAAAAGCCGCACTGCTTGGATCTGCACGCATATTACGAAAATACGTTACGACGTCCTAGGCCCCTGGGTGGGGCCCGACTAGTAACCAATGCCAAATCCGGCGAAACAACTGGCCGCTGTGATACAATTGTGTAATAGTAATAATAATAATAATAATAATAATAATAATAATAATAATAATAATAATAATAGCAGATAGCTCTTCTTTTTAGGAAGATATACCTACTTTCCTAAGTTGATACCCACTTCCCTCTGTCACAATAATTTATTAATGCATTGCTGACTCATTGCACTTCACATATGAGTAACAGCATAAATCTTTTAACTATGAAAAAGCTTAATTCATATTTTCTTTCAGGCAAGGTTAGAAATAAGATTACCTTAAGGATCTCTTGGTGATTTTCTGATGCATAAAGTCTACCATCTCTGACTATATCTTCTATTAGTTCTTGATAATCCTCTATTCAGAACACACAAAGCAACATTAATCTTGCTTATCGTATTTGTTAGAGTCTCAAAAATATTCCATTTAGGTAAAAATGATAATTTACATTTAAATACCTAAAGCAATTTAAAAGCATCCGAGGGTTGTTATGGATTTTTTTTTGTAATGTACAACCAATTTAGAGGCTTACTTCCATAATTTGAAGATTTAATATATTCCAAATTAATTTCAATAAGAGAACTATATAAAAAAGACAGAAACAAAGTTTTCCATAGTAAATGTTTGATACTACTATGTTCAAATCATGAGTATTCTTACAAACTCTACTTTGTATAACATTTCAAAAACTTTTTTACTTAAGGAAAAAACACACTTATTGCATTAAAAATATCCACCATCAACATTCTTATGCCCCTTTGTCTGTGTGTAATAAAACCATTACTCAACATCATTTGCTATTTTTATAGCAAGCATGTGAGTTCCAGAAATGGAACTCAAAATTCTGGAACAAACGCAGTCTCCGAAAACAGAGATCAGAAAGTTACCACTGATTACAGAAAAGACAAATTTAGCTCTTTAAAAGAAACACATGTCAGGCATTTGGAGTTCATCATGCCCAAGCCAAATTTATTTGGGGGTGGTGGTTACCCTGAGGGTAGTTCCTGTTTAACTTGGAATAATGGCCAGAGATCACATGGAGAGAAAGTTGCTAATTCTCTTTGCTTCTGCCTGAAATATTGATTAGTCCCAAATTCAACTTCAAAGCAGAAAGTGTGAAATCACTGGAACGGTTATGAGAAAAGTCATTTCCCAGTGCAGAATGAAAACATGTGACAGTTCTTCTTAAATCTAAAAATATAATCTGAGCTATAATAGAGTAATCAAGGAACAAAGAAGTCACAATATCACACAGAACATATCTTGTAAAAAATGTATTACATAAAATACAAAAACCAATAAAAGATTCAGAACCGTTTCTGAAAACAGCTACAATATCTGTCTTACTCTCATGGCCCTAAATACCATAATAATTTCTTTGATCAGGTACAGTAAACCCTACATCATTTTGTGTAGAAATGATGTATCCTGGCATGGCTGACTATTAAGACGTGGCATGATGTTAGAAAACCATCTGTCAAGTCAAACACATTTTTTTCATAAAAGTTCTTTATTAAAGTCTTAAGCTGCAAAATGCAATTACTGCTGTTTCCTAGCCAGAAATTCTAACTGTATTCTCAGATAAACAAAATATATTTCCCCCAAATAAAGGAAACTATACAGTATATCTATATTCCAGGTTAACCTCTGCCAAGATTGGCTTTCAATCATAAAGGTCGATGAACAGTTCAAGCATCAGGTAACACAACGATTGCTAATATTTTCTAAACTATTTACCTTATGATTGGATTCATATATTGACCAGCCATGATTAATTTAACCGTGGGTTTGCAGATTTACCCATAAACTACAATTTACAATCCCACAGTGACTGGATTCACAATATATAGTAGACCAAATCAACGAATTACTTATAATTTAGCATGATCTGTGAGTACAGCAAGCAACAGTTTCACGTATTGGAAAGTTCAAGTGTTAAATAACTGCTCACTACCTATTCATCTTCTTGAGATCTTCTCTTTCTAACTTCTTCAATTATGCAAGTGCAGAAATATAAGTAACAAAAATTAAATGCCCACATTTAAATTTTCTTGAGTTTTAACCGTGGCTTACCATCATAGGTTACATAAGGGACCTGGAATCCTTTTGCACTATTGCCTTCATTTGATTTGAACTGGATCCATAGCTTTTTGGACCTGGAAGTGAAAGCTATAGGGCGTTCATAGGTTTGGCAGGTTTCATATGTGGTCACAGAATTGGAGGAAGCTACCAAACAAAATGTACAAAGTAGATATTAGACTTCTATTATGTTTTATTTCCCATAAGGTCCTACTATTACCCCAATACTAGTTTTCCCCGAAGATCTCATTCAATTAGCCTGTTACCAAAGTTTCTTTTAGTGAAAAACGGAAGATGACTGCTATCCATAATCAATATGTTTATCTACTGAAGCCTCCTTTAGTAAAGTGTTTTCCTGATGAAAACATGCCATCAACTGAGAATTCTGGGACAATAATCAAAGTACAGTTATATGGTGCCAGAATAGTAGAGGCTGTTATTTCAGAGGAGTTTGTTTTTCAATTTCATTGTAATATATTCAACTTTTGTAACTGTTGCTCTCAACATAGTATGAAAGAAAGTTGGTGCTTTTTACTGTCAAACTCTTCTCTATGTTTCCAAAATAAGAGTTCTGTAGTCTGCTGTGGGGAAAATTTTAGAAAAGAATCTGCAAAAATTTAAAAATCATGTTTCACAACACATTACTATGCTGATGAGTATCTACGCAGTTATACCTTGATAATATCATTGGCCATTAAATTTACTGATGTTCTTACTACCAAAACAAGCCAACAAAACACTGATTTTTAATATCCAACATACTGATCTCCTTTATGTTGACCCTTTTGTTCAGTAGGCAATGTCTTAAACTGTAAAAGGAGCTTTTCCCACCTACAAGGGACTCATATCATTTGTACATCTTTTTTTTCATGAAAAGGATTACTTATATAACTATGCGGAGGCTCATCTAATCTGAAGACATCAGCCCAAGGAAAATAAAACAACAGAATTTCAAGATTTGGGTTGGATTCATCTAAGTCAACAAATGTCAAATTTGGGGCATCACGTCGCCATCAGGTGACGCATTGTGACATTTTTTCCCTTCACAGAGCTAGGGTGGACGTGGCCTGTGCATGATGCATCCGGCCTGTGTACCACCAGTTTGACACCCCTAACCTAAGCATTAGTATAACCAGGTCTATAGTCAAAGCTTATCTCTTTTATGTCACTTTAAAAAGAGCTACACCTGACACAGAAATCTAGCGAAACAAAATCTACTTCATTTAACTTACAACTTTTTCTCATCACCAAGTAGTCTCCACATTCATCTTCTATTGGTAAAAATATTTCAGGAACTACAATCAAAATGCGGCGCTTAGGAGGTGGATTTATAGTCCAAGTACACTCAGTGTTTGCAGGATAATTTCCAGGATAGTTTGGGGACTCAATGTATCCAGTAAACTCTCCAAGCTCACCCCCACAATGTCTGTCTGAAAAAAAGAAAGAGGAATCTATTATCTATATTATGGCCTATGCAAAATAAAAGGGGTGGGGAGTAGTGATGGAATGAAGATAACCAATGCTACCAAACTCATCAAATTCTCTAAATCAAACTTTAGCTTCAATATAGAAATCAGTCATATGGTTTCATAAACAACTGTTAATATACAACTGCTTGCAATGATTCAGAATGAAGTATGTTCATACATCACCCTATTTGTGGACCTGGCATCTTCCAAGTTTGACAATGATTAACACACACAGTCCTTCCACATGACTATTTTACTGCACTTGACTACCCAATTGACACAATGGATTATGTCAATGACATTATGGTAGCCATATTCATAGCTTCCATAACTATTCTGATATTCATGTCATGAAGCCGTTAGATACCCTGGATCTCTGAGGCACATGATCATGAGTACTTTCAGTACATTGATCATAGACTTGTTCAGGTTGCTAGGTGGGATTAGGTTTTGAGGCACTGCTCCTTTATGGCTATATACAGAAGATAACACTGACAACATTTTGCTGCTGACTGATGACAGCTCTCCAAGGTAGACCAGATTAGGAAACTGAATGTATGCAGACCAATTATAGGTTTACAGTAATAGAGTCTTGCAAGTCTGAATGTTCTTCCCTCCTCCCTCCCTTTATTAGGCAATGCTTTCTCAGGTTATTGTTATGTCCTGATCTCAGATTTATATGAGTTTTGTCTTGGTAGCAGCACTTCCTCTTGTCCCTCAAAACCATTCCTTACACTTACAAGTGTAAGGCATTGGGGGAATGTCTTTAGCACCCTGGTGATGCCAATCTCTGATGCTCCTTACTTCTTAACTCCAAAGAATAACTGGTTCTGTTGAATATTCCCTAATTCAGTAACAGACTGGAGTGTGTGGTAGGAACAAGCTAAAATGAAATCCAGACTTTGCAATATTAATTCTATACCATTGATTCCACATGGATTCTCAGTGGTTTACATATATCAATAAAATCATGCAACCACAAACAACCCACATTCCCATTAAGCCTATAATAAATCTCTCTCATAACAACCGGTCCTGGCAACATTGGACACCATATGTTCTTTCAAACATTCCATTTTAACCATCTTTTCAAAAGTTATTGGGAAATATATCTTTTGAGTCTTCATGGAAGGCTGCATAAGTATGGATGGCATGGTAAAAAATAAAGTTTCTCCAAGCTTTCCTTCCCAGAGTTCATAGAGGGAACCAACAACATTCCTAATCTAGACATGCTCATTGGATGGATGGGTACATTTCACTTAAATTATCAAAATGTCAAACTATTGTAGTATTTTAAAGATAATGACTAGCACTTTGAATTGTACTCATATGTCAACCAAACCACACCTACAATTCAGTTGGTCTTCACTTTTAAAGGGCAAAAGATTATACAACTTGCCTATCTAAGGAACTTTTATTATGAATGTGTCCAGCTATAAATATCTATAGAAGATGCCCTTTGCAAGTAGCTGTTGCTATCATAGGCCAATTTTTCTGAGGTGCCTTTTCTTGTATTGTTCTTCAATTAAGGAGCACACTTTCTTTGAAACTGATCTTGGGGCCTTTTAAGTTGAGTATTGGGAAGAATACTAAAGAATAATCTTTTTTGTTAAGCTGTTATGTTATTATGTATCAATGTGTCAATATTACTGAATTTAAACTTACGTCCAATTTATGTTTTTGTTTTAATTTTGTTAACTGCCTTTATCTAGAATAGAAAGATGGGGTGTATATGAAATGAAATGGCTGGGAGATGGCTGGGATACACTAGCTTCCTACTATATAGGAATATAGACTGCTATATGCTGTTGGCAGTGAGTAGAAGAATCTTAGGAAGCAAAGCCTTAGGTCCAGTTACAGAATTATGAGTAGAAACCTTGATGAAACTTTTGGCAACTGTTATACTTTCCACTTATATGAGTTGCATTGAGACTGATACCAAAGAAAATAACCAGGTCAAATACGCTGTATGCCAAGCGGAAGCAGAATCCAACATACTGAAGAAAGTCTTTGAAACACAGTGTGAGTTTTTATGAGTTTCATTTTATGAGTTAGTGAGGAAGAGTGAAAGGCAGCGATACCTAGAAGCATTATTGAAGACTCTTACACTTAATTGAAGCAGTAAGAAGAGCAGCTATACTTTTTAGAGAATACATTTATACTGAAACTGAATCTAGTTGCTCTGGTATTAGCCTGCCTTTGACTCCTTGGCAGAATGTAAGCTGCAACTCCCCCAAGGAAAGAAATCTCATGTGATTTGCTATATTTAGAAATGTTACCACAGCAACTCAAGAAGGAACTATGGCATAGGATTCTCCAATGATGTGGGGAAAAAAGCCAATTGGACTGAATATAAGCAGGGCAAGTTGTACTGATCTCCTGGATTCTAAAATTTACTATTCTTACTTAGCACTAATCTTCACCTTTGCAATGCAATATGTTTGTCGATCCATCATAATCAGTAGTTGTGTTTCCAGGACATGAAATACAGTACTTTTGTCCAAACTCAGGTTGATATGTTCCATTTGGGCAGCGGATACAACGATGAGTAGTTGTATTGTAAAAATGTCCAGGTGAGCACTGCACTATAAATGAGAATAAGAAAGCAGCTTGGACTAATATTTTGAAAAATTACACAAACATAATAACCTAAATTCACCTTAAATTCATTCATTTAACAACTATTTTTCTTAAAATAAATTTATAGAAATTAACATGCTTATAACCCTGTATAAATAAAAGCTTGTATGAATTGGTGTATTATTTACAAAGCATAGTTTTCAAATATGTTTACTGCATAATAGACACATATAACATTTATAACCCAATATGGCATATAGGTGAAAAATATATTCAACTTTATGTAGAAACAAAAACCACTACAGGAAGCTAGCTATTTGAAATGGTGCTAGGGTTATGTTTGCCTTGCTTGATTGGAAGATACACATTATTTTTAACCTATTTTTGGTCTAATCAGTGGTGTTTTAACCATTAAGCAGATTCCGCATGTACTTAGGGCACCAGGCCCAAGGGAGCAGAGCAAAGTTGAGAAAGAAATAAAAAAAAATGGAGATTTGTACAGTGTGTACAAAGGAGGGGGGGGCACCAAGATTTGTCAGTGCTTAGGGCACCAGTGAGCTTTAATCCACCACTGGGTCCAATGTATGATATTTCTTACATTATGATATAACTTATATTCTGGATGGTGAAAAGTATTCCTATAGGTAGTAAATCATTATTCATCCCAGCTGGGGGGGGAGAGATTCTTTCCAGGGAGAGATGAAAAATTGGCACTGAAATAAATGATGGCTTATGTTTTGAAGTCTTGTCATTCTTACCTTTAGTCTCACAATCCTGAAACATTGTTGCACTAGTAATTTTTGTCATCAGACCACCTCCACATGTAAAACAAGATGTTCGACCTGGTTCAGGCTGGTATGTCCCAGAAGGGCATGAAAGACAGGGCTTAAATCCGTCGGCTGAATATTCACCTGGGGAACACTGCCCTGGAGAGTAGGAAGAAGGGTAGCAGAGTGGATATAAAAATCTGAAGCAAAGTGAGCTTTAAATGATGCCTACATGCAAGCTTAGAATCAAATGTTAAACTTTTAATATTTGTTAAAAAAAAACACAGCAGAAAACAGTTCTATTTCTCAGCTCTCAGTTCTATCACTTACATGTAACTTGATTCAGAGAAGGCTGCCTATTTCTGCAGTAAGAGAACAGTAGCTTCCATATTATATTATATTATATATTATCAGCCTCTCTTTCTGATAATCGGTTTTTAACAGGCTTGGTTTTTTAGTAGAAAATTAGCAATAGCACTTAAGACATATACCACTTCATGGTGCTTTTACAGCCTCTCTAAGTGGTTTACAGAGTCAGCATATTGCCCACAACAATCTGGGTCCTCATTTTACCAACCTCAGAAGGATGGAAGCCTGAGTCAATCTTGAGCTGGTCAGGATCAAACTGCTGGCAATCGGCAGAGTTAGCCTGCAATACTGCATTCTAACCACTGCGCCATGAGGACTCTTGTATTCAAATTTAATGCACTAAACTAAACTATTACTAATTAAGAATTGGCTCTGAAGTTCACTAAGTGCTGAAGACTCATCATGTTTGTTAAAAATTCATATTTGATATTGCAGCAAAATAGGATTTACTGCCTTTGCGCAAATACCATGGATTAATTTTTTCCAAATTGTGGCTATAGCAAAAGTGTCCTGTCTTCAGTTGCTTCCTCTCCTGCCCCGCTGTTTGCAAAAGAAAAAGCTTATATTCAAATTAGCGGACTTATAAATATCCATCTTAATAGCTTGAAAGAGAGAAAGAATTCTTGCACATAGTGTAGATAATATAGTACTGTAATGTGTTATCTAATCAGCAAGATTAAGAAACATTTTTTAAAAGTTAAATTGCAAACAAATAGCATAATTTAGTAATTGTGTTTTGGCTCAAACAATTTTTCATTCCAACCTTTCATCTGTCTTAAAGTTTACCATTCAGAAAAACAGAACAAGTGTGCAAAATAGGATCTCAACCAGGGGTGGGTTTCAACCAGTTCACGGCAGTCTCTGCGAACCGGTTGGTCGGCGAACCAGGAAGTAAGTAACTTCCGGGAACGGCGAAGGGCGCGCCCGCCCACCCGCGGTCCTTACCCGGTTTTGACGAGTTCTGCGCTTCTACGCATGTGCAGGACGCATACAGCGCCTGCACGATCCTCCAGGAGCAGCTGGAGCATCGCGCAGACGCAAGTACGCATGCGTGCACCGCGCGCGTGCACGAGGATGCTGCCGGCCCCGTTCCAACCGAACCGGTTGGAACGGGGTGAGAAACCCACCCCTGATCTCAACCCACTGTTTAAATATATGTTTGGGTCTACATTTCGACACAAATTAAATATTGTGGGAGTTGTAATCTCAACACATCTGGAGGAGGCAAGGTCAAGAAAAGCTGCCAGAGGCATAACAGCTTTAATTTTCAATGGTTCTCCCTACTAGTTATCTATGTAAAAATACTATACCAAGTTTTTTTTAAGAGAAAAGGAATTATAAATTTTCATGCACCTCCCAATATTCTACCCTATTTCATCTCTATTTTATGAAGTAATAAGCCCCTTTAGCCTATATGCTGAATGAACAGATAATAAAGAAAGGGAGGGTTATCCTTTGTTTGAATATATTTTAACAATGCCTGGTTCTGCTTATCCTTTATCTTATCTTGAAAACCCATTCACTTTCAGTTCAGTTCAGTTCAAGAACATATATGCAAGACAGAAATGATAGTGAAACTGTACTAAAATGTTTTCATAACAAATACAAATGCAGGCCATTAGGTAAATAGATGATGTAGAACAGTGGTATCAAACTCACGGTGTCACGGTGGTGTCACATGACATATTAGGACTTTCCCTCCTCCGCTAAACTGGATGGGGATGGGGTCAGCACGTGACGCATCCGGTCCACAAGCCACAAGTTTGACACCTCTGATGTACCGTGTTTCCCAAAAAATAAGACAGGGTCTTATTTTCTTTTTATCCTCCGAAATAAGTGGTTCATTTTATTTTTGGGGAGGTCTTATTATTTTTGAGGTGCAGAAGGCAGTGAGCATGGTCACCTCATGGCTGCTGCTGTGTTACAATTTTTGGGGAGGGCTTATTTTAGTGCATGCGGTCAAAAGTCTGATTGGGCTTATTATCCGGGGAAGTTTTATTTTCAGGGAAACAGTGTAGAAGTACAGTAATTACATCCAATTTGTATCCCTGGTCTTTACTATCTCTGCTTGTGAACTGTTTTGATGTTCATATACTATAAAAACAGAACTAATCTGCTAGAACTGATTATATTCATGTTGCCTATAGATTCTCCAGTATGCAGATTGCAAAGACAAAAGAAGTGATTAAACTGCTTTGTTAGACAATGGATTACTGCTGCAATTGTTTGGCTATACTGTGGAGTTCTTAACTTTTAAAGAGAGGTTAAATCTGTTACCTTGTGGCTTACAGCTTCAATAAATCACTTCACCAAATGGCTGTTTTTGTTAAGAGGAGCTAAATTGGCCTTGGCTTCATTTCAGGTTATTTAAGTTCACAGAAGAAGAAGAAAGGCACTAAATGCTCTTGATCAGGGATGAGGAATTTTGTTTACAGCTAATGAACTGTGTTTAATAGAGAAAACGGCTTTGGCTTATGAATAAAGCAGCAGAAGGAACCATATGCACTCATTGCAGCAACGGAGGAAGAAAATGACATGGTAGACACTGAGTCATTAGTCATGACATGAGGGACATGAAGAAACCATTTCTTTCCCAATACTTTCTCTTTAGAGCTTGGAAGAAATTAAGGTATTATATGCAAATTAAATTATTTTCCCTAGATAGTGATATAAGAGGATATACCACTTTCCTTTACCAACAGGCCAACATAACTGCAAAGATTAGCCACATCAGTTACCAGTTTGTGGTATCAAACAACACATCATCCACACTTCTTGATTGAAAACTGATAGTTTAAATGGAGAATATGGGTATTTTACAAAATGTTCTATGTTGGTATTATATTGCACACAATGCAGGACTTGTAAATGGGAAGTGTAAAATTCACAGTAAAATCAAACAAACCTATTTTTTCTGTATTAGAAAAAAATAGAGGATGGGTTGTACTGTGGGTCAAAATCTAAGGCAAACTATTTCATCAGAAATATCAAGGGGTGGAATATTTAGGGGTCTCGTATTAAGAATGCAATAGCACTTAGACTTATGTACCATTTCATAGTGCTGTTGCATCCTTCTCTAAGGGGCTTACAGAGTCAGCATATTGCCCCCAACAATCTGGGTCCTCATTTTACCCACCTCGTAAGGATGGAAGGCTGAGTCAGCCTTATGCAGATGCAGATAGAGAATTGCAGTTCTACTCCATATTAAATATACTCCATATTAAAAGATCTCTTTCATCAAATAAATTTAGTATGCCGGGAAAAGGGAATAGCATGTTAAAATGCAATATATTACTGCAATGAAGATAAATAATTAAGAACAAAGATTGAAGGAAGGTATATTAGATCTTTGGAGCTCTATTTTTCCATCAAGACTTATCTAGAACATGTGCTTCAAACGTTATATAGAACCGATGCTACTTATATCCAGTAGCATTAAATATTTTCATTATATAATGAAAAGAAAGAGCTGGTTGCAAATATTATGTATCCCTTTTTCAGTAATGAAGCATTGTCAGCTACCTAAAAAAAAATTCTATGTATCCATTTGCTTATTAAGGAAAATAACTCATCAAATAAAAAGGATCAAAGCTCTAGAAAGGGTAGGAAAGGAAAATGCACAGATTCACTTCCACCTATGGCTAGGAACAGATCCTGTATGAATATCTGGACAGTGCTGCCTATCAGAGTAAGTAATATTAGACTAAATGAATTGAGTGAATATTAGACTAAATAAACTAATGAAAATTAGACTAAATGATACCTTTATAGCATATCTACATTTCCCACATCTAGAGTGTTTTCTAGAAGTAAAACAACTGTATTAAAAATATTTTGTCCAGAATCATCCTGTACTTTTGTAATTCCAATACTTTCCCCCCTCTTGCATGACATTATATTATATCCACAGAAATTGCTTTAAAGTATAATAAATTTAGCTCTTTCCTTCTTGGAAAATCCATTGAATATATTTAATAGGCAAAACTTAGTCTGATTACTGGATAAAATTAACCCACAGTATTTAAACATTTTAATTGGCATATTATTAACCATCCAGAAAAAATTATCTAAACTACAAGATTTACTTTATTGTTGCCCAGTTGCAAGCAGTTGTCTGTGGTCTCTAATACATAGCTTAAATAACTGTCTGGCAGCACTCTTGAATGCCACAGTCTGACCCTGGGTACTTCAGTTCACAGTATTTAATTCCCGACTTTAGAATTTAGTCTTTATTGATCTACTGTAAAATCCTCTCAGGAACGAATATTAGAAATGTGTCTGGACAGTTTCATAGGCAATCTTTGCTGCTCCAGATGATCAGAAATTAATGTTCAGTAGGAAAAGGTTATCCTCCTTAGTCTCTAGTATAATCTATTAGTTTCTCTTTAATGCCACTATTCTCCATGCTACAGCAAGAATTCATTGCTAAAATGATCAAAGATCAAGAAGAAGAATTTCATAGCTAGGATAGTGTTGGAAGCTGAGAACTTTTCCTTTATTCAGGCAACTATTCCCTATCAAGATTCTATAGAGATATCTCTATATTATATTTTTTCTGCCGTTAGAAGAGCAGTTAATAATAGGGAGACGTTATATTATACCTGCTTTCACACCCACAAATCTCTACTATGCATTCACCTGCAATGAAGGGCAAAACTACTTTTTCTGTAAATTGTGTAGTTAACTCTGGCATTACAATATTTCTCCAAAGCCTAATTTTAATGATACATTTTTCAGTATATATAAAAAGGGAGAAGCAATAGGGGGTCCTTCTGTCCAAACATGGTGTGTTTCATAATATCCTTACCTCCACAGTCAGATATACTGCGAGCACCAATTGCTTTTGAGTCCCCAGAATGTTGAAGATTTGGACAAGGTTCACAGACAATTTGACCTTCATTGCCTTGATAAGTTCCATTAGGACATAAAATACAATTTTCTTGTTCCCCATCAAAATATGTTCCAACACTGCAGCTAGCTAACAATAGAAGGCAAAACAGTCAGTCACAGAAAGTATTTTCTCTTCAGTAAGAAGAATGAATATTACATAGGGTGAAGCTTTAACCTATGTTTGAATGTACTATTTTCAATTAAAGGTATGTTATTTCACTGAATTTCTAACATTCATTATTATTCCTGAATAATTATCCTACAATGTAAATCTCACAATTGATAAATTTTCAGAATTTTACTAATAATATGTAAATGACTAATCTTTCTTCACTTAAACACAAGGATATAGATGGCATTTCTTTGGTCTGAATGTTCATAACTATAGTGAATATTTTTGGAAAATTTATTCTTGTCCCATTATGGTTTTCCTTTGAGTTCCTGAAGATGAAAATACTTCTAGTTTTCCTATAAGATTTTCCTTTAGAATTCTACACTTTATGTTCAAACCAAGGCAGATGGCTTTTTTCACCTGCTTTTTGTTCTAGATCAGTGGTTCCCAAACTTGGCAACTTTAAGACTTGTGGACTTCAACTTCCAGAATTCTCCAGCCAGCTTCTAGGAGTTGAAGTCCACAAGTCTTAAAGTTGCCAAGTTTGGGAACCGCTGTTCTAGATCCACATTAAAAAACATCTACCGTGTTTCCCTTTAACTCCCGAAATAAGCACTTGGCCTTATTTTCAAGGAGGTCTTATTATTTTTGAGGTGCAGGAGGTGGCGAGCATGGTCACCTCATGGCTGCTGCTGTGCTGCAATATTTTGGGGAGGGCTTATTTTAGCGCATACGCTCAAAAGTCCAATTGGGCTTATTATCCAGGGAGGTCTTACTTTCAGGAAATAGGGTATAAAAACTGAGACATGAATTGTAGTAGAAAATCTGTAACATACTATCAAGACAACTGTTTTCCAGCTGAAACGTATCTTATTTGATCAACAATATCTCAAGTTAAAGATCCCTGGAAGCCAACTGAATAGGATCTCTAAAATAGGAGTCAGCAATTTCTTTCATAGGACTACAGCTGTTATTTCAGAGAAATGTTTTAATTAAATTCCCTACTAAAGAAATTGGGTCAGACCTCTAATGAGACCAATCTGTTTTCTTTCTGACACCAAAGTTGAGAATGGTGCCAGACAAAGAAAAAGAGGATGTTCAAGTGAGAACATCTGCTTGCTTTAGCCTTATTCTTTGAGCTATCCCTTATAGATAGCTTCTGAATCTGGCCCTTGAAGGCAAGAGAATTCTAGACTAATCACTTCACTGAATTACAAGATTAAGCATTGTAAAAAATAGCCACATCAGCTGAGCAATATTCTTCCCAGTATTGATTTCAATTAAATAATTATGTATATGCAAAGCCTACAACCCCATAAAATTGAAAATAGGATCCATTATTGGATTTTTCCTAGCCTTATACATACTTACAATGTATAAAAACTAGTGAATCCATAGCTATTGTCTGAGCTTATAGCTACTTAACAGTTTTAACTGAGGTAATAAAAAAAGAAAAGCAATTTAAAATATCATCTTCATATGTGTAACTAAACTGGAGACAATTTTAATTAAATAATCAGGAACAGATAGCCTCTTTAAAATTGTGAGTCTTACTTAAAATAGCAATCTTTTCCACTGCTCAAAATGAAAGCTACACATCTAATAGTTGCTTTAAGCATTATACTGAGATACTCCTGATACTTTTCTGCAGGGCCATAAAGCAGAAATATACTGATATAAACAAATATGCTGAATGACAACTTCTAACAGCCCCAGGCATCAGGGACAGCATCTGGAGGACCAATAGTTAGATTGTTGCTTGCCTGTATAAAATTTCCCTCTGTAAGGTAATCAAGTATCTAAAATCAACTTTTAAAGACACCACTGATCCTTCAGTATGAACGAAATAGCAACATCACAACAAAAAAACATAAGGTGTTCCACAGAATACAAAAACTGCCTCCTTTGAAAACAAAGACTAACTTTAGGAATAATGAAACTCCATTAAGGATTCAGCAACTTTCTGCTTGCTTTTCTTTTCTTTTCTTTAAATTAAGTTAAGAGCCATTCACCATCAACAGATTCTGTTCCTGTAGCCACCCTTTTCTGTTGTGTTCATTGACCATTAAAACCCTATTCTTAACTTATACAAGAGTTTCAGGGGTGAAGTGAAAGCTATTCTGATGCAAAAGATAGATGTGGAGAGAGGCACCCTTAGGGTGCCTGGATTAGACGTTATAAAGACATTTAAAGATTCTTTCTGCCTATTCAGCTAGTTTTAGCTTTGAGATTTTGATGCCATGGACAAACACTATAGTGTCTCATTGACTAATATGGTGAACCTCATAAAAGAGGTCATGATCCACAACTAACCACCCCTAGAAGACCCTTGCCCTGATTTCCTAAGGAAAAAAGACAAAAACTAATGGATTGTATCTCTAAGCTGCCTTCTATATTGTTTCAAAATCTTTGTCGTTACTGTTGTTTTGGTTTCTTACTGGTTTATAGGCTGTGAGCATGTGGAGAAATTTTGTGCATAAGAACTGGGCTCTTAAATATATTATTCCTGAAACAGTACAAGCAGTTAGGTATTTATCTCTAGTTTAGAAAATTTATTAGCCTCTTCCTTTCTGTTATTCAAAAGGGAAAAAAGTTGCAATACACTGAACATCAGACATACAAAACTTAGTAGGAACAAAACTACATACTGAGTTCCTGTATTTTATCTTTTTTTAACAAATAAGATAATAAGATAAAATAAAAAAAATTACAATAAAAATAGGAATGAGGAGGAAAGATATGTTCATCATCTTGAGTTAATTAAATAATAAAGGCAGGATAAGCAAAAAAAGATTGAAACTCTAGTGCAAGTTAATCTGTCTCTGATGAAGAATGACTTCTTATTGCTTTCAACAATTTTATTTATTTATTTACTATTTATTTGCTGCTTTTTTAAGTTACTTGATACCATAAAGGTATCTCATAGATGAAAAAGTAAAATGAAATAATTGACTAAAATTGCAATTTCTTAACAGAGGGAAAGATGATACAAACCAAGAGCTCGATTCTTTCTTCCTTTCTCCAGCTCAAGTGGTCTAAAGCCATTATATTATGACCTATTTCAAAACCCCATTCCTACCACGGAATAGTACATAATTTCATATAAATCTGGAGGTGAATATGAGCGTTTTCCCATCTCATTTCCTGAGGTTTCCCAAGGGACATGTAGATACATTTCAAAGAATCAAAAGTTAACATTACGCACAGATTGTTGACCTGAATGGTATGGCATAGTACAATATACTATAAACAAAAAGGGAATATTTCCAAACAGAAGAGAGGAAAACACAAAAGCTTGAGTTTCGCTAGTTTTCCATCTAATCTGAAATATAGGTACTAAGCCTGCCAATTCGCTATTGAAACATTTGTTTTGGAATCTCCTATTTCCATCGGGCTTTTGTAATCATAGTTCTTTTTAGAGCTTTTGTTTTCATACATGTATCAAGGATTGCATTGCTTTCAGTTCAATGAACGCATGGAGTTAATACACATGTTCCTAAATAAACATATTTCGTATCTGCCATGTTTTCGTGATAAATGGAATAAACAATAAAGTTCACACTGTGTACAGCACTAAGTATTATGAAACTGACAGATGCTTTCAGATAATTGAAAACAATTGAAAAAATGAATAGAAAATAAATGACAAAGCTTATGTCTAAGATAACGGAATAGGGATAACAAAGAGGACTTACACTGAGCTCCAAAAATAAGCTTGACATAATATTCATTTTTCCACAAATAATTTTTTTGTGGTTCTGTCAAATGTAGAATTCTGGCATTTATTGATCTAGTCATTCCTTCAATAGCTGCATTGATTTTGTAATATTGCCAAATGATGCAAAGAGAATGAGATGCACATTTGAAAGTTTTCATCAATATTAATTTCTGACCATTCTACTTACCACATTTGTTATCCACATGTTTTTGACCTAGGCTGCAGGGATCCTGATTATCTACTGCTCTGAAAGGCTTTCGGGCCACACCATGATCTACACCGGACAGGCGAATATGGAACTGCTCTTTGTTGATGACCTTCCGCAAAGTTCTAATAGCTTTACGAAGCCTTTTCTCAGTCCTTTTACGTGCACAGCTCAAATTACAGGTATCTAGAAAGGAGCAGACAGCAGTGATTAGGAGCAGAAAGCTTGGACGACTAGAACCATATTACTTAAAAGAGGCAGCTGATACAGCAACTGAGAAGGCAGCCTGCCTAAATTATGGTAAACAAATATTGTTCTGAGGTGAAATTTTCAAGGCACACAAAATTGATGTTAATAGAGAACAATATACATCTTTAGCCACAGTAGCTTTCTGATCATGTGGAAAAGAGCTCAAAACAGGAGATACTTTTTTTCTTTTTTGCATAGAAATGGAAGTGAAAGAGAACTCAAAGATCAAACTGCAACAAAGCTCTGTCAGAAAGGAAGCCTTTCAGTTCTTTTCCAACCAACCTGCCACCTCCTTTTGGTCTGTTTCAAGCTCAAAGTCTGCAGATATAAACATTTCTCTAGCTGCCTTCATTCTGCCGAGGTCTCCAACAGTTTTCTTGCCAGAACTGCATGTTAGGTTTACATAGTAGAAGTTCTCCGTTACTGAATTATGTTTCTCTGTGTGGACAAAATTAAAGGAAGCAGCAACTTGGCCAAATTTGTTACTGGGCATTTGCTAAGGCTTAATAAATGTTGCTGAATAAATGTGCGCAGGGTTATGTGATTAATTCCAGATGCTTACAAATGACAAAAAAACTGCAGCTACTAGTTTAGATATTTAGCATGTGACATACCAGCAACTGTTCTGGAAACATTTATTGTTATATCCCAAATCTGAGAAGAACTGTGAATCACTACATCAATAGAAACCCACAAATCCTATCAAGTCATAAATGTTCTATAAAAACAGCCATTTTAAACTATGCACTGTCATCCATACCTGGTATTACACGATGAAGAGCAGCCTGAAACATCTTACTCTTTTTCAAGTTACATTTTCCTTGATTAAACGTAAAAGTTACAGTTGTCCTGATGATAGAAAGATCTTCAGAAAGAAACAGTAGAATAATTATTTTCAAATTAATTGAATACATTACCAAAACCAAGCAGGTAATATAGATGGTTTCCACATGCCTCATTTAATTCTCTACGTATATGGATTATGGATCTAGTCTCCAGTTTTCTTTCTTTTATTATCTTAACATTTTCCTTTGCATTTGATTTTTACATTTTTCTTAGCCACTAAGAATTGCAAGGCAAGTAGGCAGCCGTGTAAATGAAATAAACAAACAAACTATGCAAAAACTCCTCATCTCAAGAGAGAGCCAAAAAATTAAAGCAAACAAACAAGCCAAGCCAAAATATATAGTACACTGAGGTTATAAGAATATTTGAAGTAACTGAAAAACTTGCAACAAACCACAGTCTCTAAGACAAAGTCAAACAAATAAAATTATTAGTGGGTAGTATAACCAGATTATTATAATAACCCATATTGTAGTTTGTTTTGGTTTACCATGTTGTCTGAACATAAACACTGTGGTTAGTTAATCATTGATGATAGATTATGGCTGGGTTTAATCAATTTAATAATAAAATGTACAGCAGCAACTTTCACCCATTTTAATCGCAAATGATGAGTCTAAGCCATGTGTCATGCTAGCCCTTAGCAAATGTGTCATGCTAAGTATAGAAAAGCATGTTGTACACTGAAATCAGTTGATTCAAGTCTTTTGATGTGAAAACATTAAGACATGTTGAATTTTTAAAATAAAAAATTATTTCAAATTTAAAAGCTATATTTTAAAATATATGTGTTTTTTTAAAATGCTTACAAAAGGCACACATGCAAGCGGTACCTTAAAATATTTATCCTATTTCCCTCCAAAAAGGCAGCAATGCCTTTTCTATTTTTCTGGTTGCTGCAAGATGCAAAAAGAATACATTAAAACAGATAAAAGTTATCTTAAAGAAAATTAAAATCTGCTCAAACACAAGAAAAATTAGGCAGATTAATTTACTAATTGAACAATATTTCCTTTATTGGCAAGCAGACCTACAAACAAAAACCAAACAAAAACAAACCAGCCATAAATGTGTAATATAATTTGAAATCATGCATGTAAAATAATTACCTAAAATAGTTGATTCATTTGGATTTTGTATTTTTTTCTTGGGTGATAAAGGGTTGCCACATTTTATAGTATAGGAATCTTCCAGGCCTAAGAGACAGATCATAAGGCTATACAATAAAACAGAAACATATGCTAGAGCATGGCTGAAATATACCCCTGAAATCTCATTCTGATGTAGCAACAGGAAAATTGTGACTCTTCAGCTATTGCTGAACTACATTTCTCAGCATGGTCTATATTAGCTGGCATTGTGGAGAATTATAGTTCAGCAACATATAAAGGACCACAACCATTTTATCCTTACACTAATATATAAAAATGCTTCAAAATTACAAAAATATCTTATCGTCATGATTATCTATAGTTGTTGGATAAGAGATGGGCAGCAAATTTTATAAATAAATAAAACCTATAATTACTGACTGTGATTATTTACACAATATTGCAAACTCCATTTACTAAAGGAGATGATGGAAGTTCTGTACTGTTGCTGGTTATTCAAAATAACTCTGAAATTGAATAGAGTAAATCAAAAGTATTGTTTGTCAGATCAGACTATCAAATTAGAGAGAGGGAGAGGAAAAGATTATAAAGAAATTGCCTTCTGAGTTTTATTTAGTCTGACTTATTTCAGACAAACTATCTTATTTCACAGTCTTAAACTCTTTATTATAGTTTGTAACTTGCATGTCCACTTTTTTCACCAGTGGTTTTTCACTTTTATCTGTTTTAACAGTCCTATCCTCTAATTTCTGAGACACAGTTTGCATTAGATAGAATCTGTATGTTTATGTAAATATTTGTTTGTTATACAAATCTATAGCTTGGCAAGCATAATAACAAGGAATGTTTTTTAATCCATGGTGCTTTTTTTCCTATAAAACAGATCTGACATTGATCATATTCATTACCTATCATGGCACTCTTTTGATGCATGGCATTATGTACTAGAATTCCCATCAAAATGGACTGCAGTTCTGAAATTATGGAATTTCAATAGAAGATGACAAATATAACTCAGGGTTGAACAGAGGAGCCCTTGGTGCTCTCAAAGAAAACACAACGCACACAATCATACCACAGATCAGAAGAACATAGAAGCAGAATCAGCTCAAAGCAGAGAATTGCCCTAAAACACCTAAAGGATCAAATCAACACTATTCTACCAGCGGACAATGACATGGTTATCATGGACTGAACACAAGAACAAAGAACTTACATCCCAGTATACACCAACCCAATATAGAAACTAGACAATCTGATCAAGAGAATTCCCAATGATCTATCCAAGAAAAGTCAAATCACAAAAGAATCACACTGGTGGATGAAAAACAATGCACCTTCTATGGACACCTAAAGATACACAAGCCCAAATACCTCTTCATTAAATTGTATCATTACCAGGGTCATCAGCAAAGAATTTACAAAAAAGGTTGGAAAGCTCACAAAGGGGAGTGAATATTTTATCAACTCCCTACCACAGTGCTTCCAGAAAAGCTAAATTTCAAGACAGAGTAAAGGGGCAAGGAATGGATTTTACATCTTGATTCGAGATAATATGATATAAAAATGGACTTAACTGCTTTATCATACAGAAAGGATTTGAGGTTCAGGAACCAGAGACTTCGCTTGGCATATTCTCTAGCAGAAACCTCAGTGAAATGATTAGAATGATTAGAGTAGAAATTATTGAAGCAATGAACTCTTTCTCTTCCCCTACACTAGTCAGAGAGAAAGCTATAAGACAATATTTCAGAATTTCGTGGCCAAAGATTTATAGAATTATCTTCAATGGAAAGTCATGTGCTATGAGGGAGGGAGGGAGGGGAGAGAGAGAGAGAGAGAGAGAGAGAGAGAGAGAGAGAGAGAGAATGAATATCATACATGGAAGAGGCTAAGTTTTTTCTTTCTTAGACTTTCAAGATTTGTCACACTCTACATTTTCTGGCTTTAAAGAAAAGTCAATCATTTTATCCTAGGTAGATAGATAGTATCCAAGAGATATCCAGGAGCAGGAGCATATAGAAAGTGGCAATAATCAGCAGCAATAAAAGAGCTAAAATTGCATATATTTGAGATTCAATCACACTTTTGCCAAACCATTTTAAGACCTTGCAACCAGAGGTCAATAACTGCACCATAAACAAAATATATTCATTTGCTATATTTTATGGTACCATACTCCACAAACTCATAAATAACAATGAACCTATTCCTGGAGATGACATTAAGATCTTGGAGACTGTGCATCTCTTCTGTGCCATTTTCAGAGCATTCTTTGTTTTCAATGCAAGTGAATTTGCAATTTGAAGTGTGGAACGGGAATGATATTTATAGGCTGAAAGATCTGTTTGAAAAAAATGACTTTATCTGAAGTTAAAACAGAGGAACCTAAAAACAAACCATGAAATTATGGTTCCATTCAATGTCACAAGATTCTTTATGTCCATTGGTCTGGAACTACAGATACATGGCAGCAGAACTACACCACACAACTGACTTAGTCAGACTGAAAATCATTGACCTCATCAACCTCTGCTCCCTATCTGCTTTCAATTTGATGTCCCATAAGAGGAGTCATGTAAGAACATTATTCAAATAAGTACAAATGCACTATTAACAACCCAGAATATCAGAAAAAGGAAAATGACCACCTATATAACATTTTCCAGCAAAATGGATGCCCACTCACCTTTATCAAAACATACCTGATCACTCAATTCATTATAGCACAACCAGCAGAAGCTTTGAAAAGGATAACACTACTGTACATTAAAAACATCTAAGAAACAACAGTCTGTTATAACCATATGGCATCACTGTACCACACAATTCAACTAAAGCCCTCCAAAACATCTTAAGTAAATTAAAAGAACCAGCAGCCCAAGAAGAAAAAGCAGCAGTCATTTACGATATACATTGTAAGGACTGTAACAGCCACTATATATCACAGACAGATAAAAAGACTAACAGAGCACATACATGAATATCAACTAACAGTCAGAAGACACAATGAAAACCCCTTAATCTCACAACACATGGACAGACTCAACCATAATTTCAGTTGGAAATTTACGAACATCCTATAATTTAATATAATAATTTAATAAATCTAAAAAAACTTTAGATAATTCCTAGAAGGTTGATATACAGACAAACCAGTTATCAATAAATACATACAGTTAAATCACATTTACACACTATTCAGAAGAGACAATGAAAAAGCTAAGAAGAAAAGAAAGAGACCAGAAAAAAGTCCTCCTCGCCATTAGCAGCACCTGGATAAGCAGGGATTGCCACCAGACAAACAATCAAGCAGAAAACAATAACCAAATCAAGAAACTCCCAAGGACAAAACCATTCCCTGCATAAGTGATAAGGGTAAGCTATTATACATAATTGGGGAGCAATTCCCAGATTTGGTACCGATAATGATGTTACTTAGCCAAGTAATGAAGCATTTACAGACCAATAACCAAGTTCATAGAGCACAAAAACTCCACAAGTATTGAACCTACAGCCTAGCATATCAAGAAATACAGTAGTTTAAGGAAGTTTGCTGTAGTTCATTCCAAATTGACACAAAAATTCCATCCACATTCTTTCAACCTGAAAGAGGGGTTGAAAGCTCAGAGGATAAAGGTCTTCTAAGACAGTGTTTTTCAACCATTGTGCCGTGGCACACTAGTGTGCCGTGACATAGTGTAAGGTGTGCCGTGGGAAAAACCCCCGCCTATAGTCAATATAGGCACTGAGTTAAATTTTTTTAACATTTTCTAATGGTGGTGTGCCTCGTGATTTTTTTCATGAAAAAAGTGTGCCTTTGCACAAAAAAGGTTGAAAAACACTGTTCTAAGATATCCAGGTTATCAAATGAGAGATGAGCTTTTAAAGAATAAAATTTTTCCCTGGCTCAAATTAAAATGCTAGGCAGATACCAGTAGTATCAGCCACTCTCTGTTCCAGTTCCTATTTTCTTATCTTTAATTGATAGAAACAAGAGGAAGATGCTTCCATATGTTTTTTTCCATTGTCCTAGCTAGATTACCAGGATTCATAGAAAAAAGGCACTAGCTTGACTGACTTATATTTTTCAAAACGTTCATTTCAGTAGGCATACTGGAAATCACAGAGCTTTAAAGCCCCACAGCTCCTTGGGCAAATCTTAAAATTGTTTCATGAGAAGTCCATTATTTGACTAGTTGACAGAGGATAGTTTTCAAGGAAGGAAATTCAGATATATTTTAACCTACAACACTTCTGTGGCTAAGTAACTTGTGGATATAGTAATGAAATATATATTTTTTACAACACTTTTAAAGGCAATATTTTAAAAATGATCTGTGTTGCCATCTGATTTCTATGCCAATGGTGAACAATATGTTGCTTGTTTCTTTCTATAATACAAACTACTAGGTTATGGAAATATTATGCTTCATTCATGAGCAACCACTAAAGGACTGTTGGAAGAAAAAGCTTCAATGCACATTTGTGGAATAGAAAATGAATGTAGTTAAAATATATTTACTACATGCACTTCTCAACTTGGAACGATCTCCCCGTGGAGATTCGTACCCTCACCACCCTCCAGATCTTCCGCACAGCCCTCAAGATCTGGCTATCCCGTCAGGCCTGGGGTTAAAGACTGTAATCCGTCCCCACCCGAATGATGAATGTTGTTTCTATTTTTAATTATGTATTGTTTTTATATGTCATTGTTTGTACTCCCTTTCCCCATAAGTTGTAAGCCGCCCTGAGTCCCCTTAGGGAAAAGGGCAGCCTATAAATAAACTTTTCACAATTTCACAATTTTCACAACTTCCACAATTCAACTGAATTTTTTGTTGGAAGGCATTTAGTCACCATGTAACTGGACCCATTTTATAACCATTTCTATGAGGGTTGTAAGTCACCATTGTTAAGCAAATAACATGGTGGTTAAGCAAATCCATCTTCCCTGTGGCTTTCCCCCCCCAGAAACCTATAAAAACATTGCAAACAGTGATCACATGATGGGAGGGTTGGTTAGTGTGATGGTTTGTAATGGTCACAAGTACAAATTGAGATAATAAGTAACATTTTCATTAGGCCATCATAATTTCTCATTAAGTGAGTGGGATGATGGTTTCCACTGATTATAAATACGAATGTAAGTCATAAGTAACTTTTTCAGAGACTGTCATAATTTGAAAGTGTCATTACATGAACAGTTGCAAATCTTGGGCTACCTGTTCTAAGTGAATCAAAGTTATCAAGGTTATTCTTGTTTCCCTAATTTAGGGATAATAACAATTGCAATAGCAACAACAATAACAACATCCCCCATGTTCTGCATTACTTACCAGAAGTAAAATGGACATCTGAGGGGCAGATTAAAAAGCATCTATCATTTCCAGCAGTCTTAATGCAGTGCAGAGATACTTTGGGAGAAAGGACATCAGACAAGGGCCTTTCTACAGAGCAAAACACAGATACTCACAGGACAAGAAAGCTAATGGCAGGCATGGTTGTAAAAATGCAAATATGAAGCTACATGTTACACAATCACTATCAATTTACACATATGCTATTCATAATACTGGGAATGAAGACATACACACAGTATATTATAAAAAGCTGGGGAGTGGGGGAAGGGTCATGCAGACAACTGCAAAAGCAAAAACAGTCTAGATTAAAAGCACAGAAAGAAAGCATCAAAGACCCGAAAGTATCTCCTGTTTTTGGTTTATCAGCTAATTAGAAGCAACGTAGTGCTATAGATCTACAATAACTTTTAGGAGACCTGAATGCAATTTGGAAAAGAGTTCATTGTTTCAGTCTGCATTGTTCCAAGAAATCTGGTTGGCCACAAATAAGAGGGTAATAAAAGGAACATGTACAGACACATTTTGTATATTATGGGAATTGCACAGTCTTCAAGTGGTCCAAAGCTGCAAAAAAGGTTTGAGACGCTGAATCTTACCCACACAGTCCTTTTTGTTCCAGTGTAATTTATACCCGGCATTACAGTGGCACTGATAACTACCCAGTGTATTTATGCAGATATGCTGGCAGCCTCCATTATTCATGCTACATTCATTGATATCTACAGAAGAAGAACGAGGGAGGGGGAGAAATTGATACTGTTCTGAATCTAGTTAGCAAAGAACTGCACATGGATAACTACTGCCAGGCACACAATACATAAAGGGCTTAATATATTTTTCTGCAGCATGGATATTTGAATACAGTTGCCAAAAACTAGAAACATGCATTTGCACGCACAGACCAGCTTTTACTGGAAGCGTCTCACAAAATGTTCAGAACAAATCACTGGTGCCCTGTTGATGATTGTTTGATGTGCCATCAAGTTGCTGTTAATTCTTAGCAACCACATAGATCTGTACAACAAAAATTTAACAAATTTGCACAAAGGACACCCTACTGATTTTAAGCAATTTTCATTAAAAACAGAGGGTAAGGTAGACTATTTCAAGGATGACAATGGGTCACAATGAAGAACCTCACTTGCCCTAAAATAAAATGTAGGAACTGCATCCTCATCTTGGTAAAGATGTCAACTTTGAGTTTCTTCCCATTTAGGTTGCTTACAGTTAAGGAAATAGGGTTAACTATAATTAAAAGACAGAAGCTATATTTGGACATAGATAAATGAAAGCATAATCAATATTAGTAACAACACAAAATATCCCTAACTACAAGAACTACTGCATGATCAACTATTTGGGGAGGGGGGGGGCTCGTCGTTCTATAGGGACATTGACCGCCAGTTGATTATCCCTCTTTCATTTAAATTTCCGGGGTACTTTGTTAAACAATCAAGATAAATTTATTTATCTAAGAGTAGCAGAATTTTGCTACATTATGTGTAAGCTTCACCCTAAATGGTTCTTGTTGTTAGGAGATAGTTTTGTCTTGCTGCTTTTACTGATTGTACAATAATTAAAAGATCTTATACACTGAAGCAAATGCATGTGTGATGCCATTTCCTTTGTAGGTTCCTACTCTTCCTGGATGTCTGTTTCATCTAATTTCTCCACAATTTATTTTTTCTTTTAAAGCTATTTTATTTTCCTGACTTCTACATATAACAAACGTTACCCATTTTTAAAAACCATTCTGGCTTAGCATGCAGATAATTACTACATGCCATAATTAGTATTACCAAGAGTACTTCGCAAGCATGATTTGCAAAATCCAGCTCTTAGTACCCAAGTGTGGAACACAACTATTTGTTCCAAAACCCACAGCTGCTTTCCAAAAATAAGAATGAAAAGTTGCTTTAAGGAATAGTACAGTGTGTACAGAGTCAGGTTCCTACTTCAAACCACCCGAAAAGTAAAAAGGCAAATAATCTCAAAAATCTGCAGCAAAAAGTTTGAAATGCACATTTCCTTTTCATGTTGAGATCACAGAAATAGAATTCCAAAGAAAATGCCAGCAATATGTTTATATACACTCACCGCCACAATGTGTGAAGCCAAAAAGAATGTATCCTTCATTGCAAATGCATTCAAAAGTGCCTGGATGATTGATGCACAAATGGTCACATGTCCTTTCAAAAGAACATTCATCAATGTCTGTAATTTAAAAGGGATGCTTTATTACTTCACTTTTTATGGAAGTAGCTTTTTCAGTGTAAACTGGGCAACTAGAATAGGCAGATTTGAACAGCTCCAATTTTCCCCCTTAAGCTTGTTCTGCCTCATTAATACCTGCTAGAATTCCTCTTCAGCACTTAAGATCTAAGCCAATTGCCAAAGCAGGACTTGGTCATAGGATACTCCTGCTAGCAGAAGTTTCCCTTTCTCTTTGCAACCCCTGTTCTCCCTAATATTTTTTAAAAGAATAAAACCAGTTTTGATAAAAAGGCTGCAATGGGAGGAACAAACAGTGAAAATAATTTCCATCCTTTTCCATCAGCTGAGAGTACCCATATGTGACATTCTGCTAAAGGGACACTGCTATAAAGCATTGTTCAGGATACAAGTCCTAGATCTACCTGCAGTCAAAAGAGTTTTGGATTATAGAGAGCTTGCAGCTGAATAGTGATATCAGAGGCTGAAGTGTGAATTGTGGGGAAGATATGCACAAGAACTATCATTATCACTTGGATCTATATTTTGTATTTGTCTTAATTGTCACATTTGTCACTTTAGAAAAATTGAACAGAAAGGCAATAATTATTTTCAAGGTAAACTATTAATACATCTGCTGAAATTATATTCAATCCATTGCTATCAATAGAATATTGATATTATTATTATTATATACGTTATTCATTAAACATGAAACTCAGCCAACTGAACATTCAAAAATGCATTACAAATACCAGTGACTGGTGCTAATGGTTGATATGGTTTACTGCCAGCATCCTAGGTATCAACCAAGTACCTTCTTAAAATATATTCCAAGTAGTGGCAGTTTTTTGCAGTTCCGCTGGTGTTATTGCAAGAAGCTGCGATTTGTTAATGTATCTTGCAAAATTTTTGGACATGGTGCCAAGTGCCCCAATGACAGTGGGTATCACTGTTACATGCTTCATCCATAGCCATGTAGTTTCGATGGCCAGGTCGCGATATTTCATGATTTTTTCTAGTTCTTTTTCTTTGACTCTTGGCATCTCCAGGAACAGCAATATCAGTAAACTGTACACTTCGGCCCTCTACAACCGTGATATCTGGTGTGTTGTGCTCCAAATTATGATCCGTTTGTATTCAAAAGTCCCACAAGATCTTCACCTTCTCATTTTCGATAACTTTTTCCACTTTATGTTCTCATGACTTTCTGGATACAGTAAATCATATTTCTTACATAATGACCAGTGGATTAATTTAGCAACTCGGCCATGTCTAGTTTGTGCAATTTTGCTGCATTCACATATTAAATGTGAAACAGTTTCAACTTTGTTATTGCTTTCATGGCATTAGTTTGTAGTGCTTGTTCTTGAGCAGCCAGTATTAAACCATCCGTTTCTTTCTTGATAGTTCCCATTTTAAGCCATGTCCATGTCAAGTTGTCATCACATCTTCCTTCAATGTTTTTCAAGTGCTGTTCCATGCAAAACTTTGGTTTTCCATCTATTTAATCTGTCATCCAGCTGTTTTTCCTTATATTTTGCCTTTGTTTCTGTTGTTTTTATGCTGTTCTCCATTTTTACAGCCTGCAGCAATTTTTCTGTTCTTTGGTTCACATAATCATTTAAACTTCATTTTTCTTCTTCTACAGTTTGATGGATTTGCAATAGCCACCTGCCCCCTATTTTTCTTGACAGGTACAACTTACCAATGTCACTTCATGGATGTAAAGCGAGGTACATATTCAAAAGTTTGCGTGTTTTCCGGTCCAAGTTTTGTAGTTCAGCCAGAGTCCAGTTGATGATTCCAGCTGAGTAGCGTATCACTGGAACTACCCATGTATTAATGGCTTTAATTATGTTTCCAGCATTCAGCTTTGATTTATTATTGTTATTGTTGTTATTATTATTATTCAATTATTTTAAATAGACTATTTTCACCTAAAACTGTGAATATTCAGCACATTCTCATCCAGAAAGGAAGTATTTGTCCTATAATCTAAGAAAAATCAAATCAAGATTTCTACTGATAGCAATCAATTCTACTTTTAGAAAGTCATAATTAATTATTGTTCCAGATGCTTATTATGAAAGTGAATTATACTTGCCAAACAGATTAATCTCTGCTTATGATCATTTTATTAAATCAATTCATGCTAATTAATCATTCTGCTAATGTAAGCATAATCCATACATAGTTTAAGTTTCTCTCTCTGAAATTAATGGAAATTTAGAACACTGACAAAAAGATCTGAAATTCATTTACCAGTAGTTAGGTATACCCTATATTAGTGTTTCTCAACCTTGGCATCTTTAAGATGTGCAAACTTCAACTCCCAGAATTCCCCAGCCAGCCAGCATAATGTTTTCCCACACATACCTTGACACAATTTTTCATCAGTTAATAATTTAAAACCTTTTTTGCAGCTGCAATCAAAACTACCAATTGTGTTTCTACAAAAATGATCGCATCCACCATTACTGGTCTGGCATTCATCAATGTCTGTGAAAAAGAAAAGGGATCGTAAGTGATTTAATGAGCTTAAGTTCTTTTCCTGAAAGAAGAGCTGGAAAAGCTTCCAGAATCATAGACGGTATAGTATTACCTAAAGCCAAGAAAAACACTTCTCTGTATGAAACATAAAGGATATCAAACATACAGTTGTCCAGAACAGGCAATCTGCTGCACATACCCTATTTGTAATAATGAACAGTTAGATTTCATTATTCTTTCAGAAAATTAGATCCCCCATACTCTATGTATCACTAATGATATTTTCTGAGAATTAAACTGAAAGGCCACAATAACTTAAATCTATACTCATATTTTGTTTCTCACAAAAAATAAATTTGTTACTGAGGGATGTGTGTCTGTATGCATGTGTCTGCAGCATTTCATTTTTAGCTAATATCTTAACAGATACATTCTTAAACACATCTCTAAGCAGTAACAGCAATAACAACTTTCAAACATAAGAAAGCATCTGACAGACAGAAGGGAGCACAAAGCATGCCTGTTATAGAGATAACCTGAGTTGCTTCTAAAACTCTTAAGTACTGTCATCTACAAGCAGGGAACATATGATGACACAAACTTCACATGTTTTGCATTTTTGATGCATGTTATTGTAATGCACAGCTTATCGATTTTCTGTCATTCTGTTTTTCCATACCAATTTCTATTCATTCCTTTGTGAAATTATTCTTATTTTCTAGTACTTTTTCTTATAGGACGTACTTCCCTTCACAGTTAAAAGTCTGTAGAGATTCTCAGTCATCCAGGTCATGGTTGTCCCAAAGGTATTTTTTGAGATGACAACTTTTAGCTATACAATTTGGGGTGAACACCCTGTGAATGGTGTGGGAATAGGAATGGATTTCCAGAGGAAAAATTGAAGACTATAGGAACCAGAAGCACCACTTAGATGACCCTGAGGACACAGATAAACCTCCAAGTGCTACAACTACCTCTAAAAGAAAGCAAATTACCAGCTGTCTGCAAGGAATATAAATCCTTCCATTCTCCACTGTCCTGTCAGAGCTGAAGCTTCTTGGATGAAAAGTGAAATGTCTTCAAAAGAAAAAACAAGAAAGTCCAGTTGCCTCCTGAAAAAAGCACCTTTGGGTGTCCCTTCACAGTTGTTCTTTTATTCCAGCTTCTTTCATCTGTTTCCTTTTCTCCCTATTTCTATTTTTCTTAAGATCCATTCTTGACAATATGAAAAATTTCCTGTACCACTTCCAAAACTTCACATCACTTTTGTATTCTTCATTTACAGATAATTTTCACTTAATAATGGTAGTTGAAAATGGCAACTCTGTCACCCAGCAATGTGATCATAAAGTGTGACATAACATAATTATGCTGACATGATAGTTCCAGCAATCCCAGAGGTTGTCATTAGGCAAATTCAGTGTTGTGTAGCATTCTGTGATCATATGATTGCCATCTCTGATCTCCTGCTGGCTTCACCATTGACTTTGCGTCTCAGAAACTTACAGTGAAGTTTGGAAATGATGATCACGTGAATGCAGAGTGCCGTAAGTGCAAGCCGGTTGCCGAACACCTGTATCACAATCATATGACCGTAGGGACACTGCCACAGCAGCAGCTATGAAGAAGTCCCCCTCAGTGCCATTGTAACTTTGAATGGTTGTTCAATGAAGACTACCTGTCTTTTAAGCTTTCATCATAAACAGTTGAATCAATCATTCTTTCAAATTCTTTTTCCATTTGTATATTACTATTTTATTATTGTTTGTTAAGGAATGCTTACTACAGATTATTTTGTTGACTGTTAACGAACTTTGAGTTGTATACTTGCTCTGTAAATTTAACTCACATTACAGCTTATGAAGAAACTGAGAATTCTGTTCCAATTAGTATTACGTTACCATGCATTCAATCTTAGAGAAACAGAATGAACTTCCTCCCAAAGGCCAGAAAACTAAATAAGGCAGGAACAATAGCTGTTGATCTTCAGTATCTGTCTGTCTATGTGTAATATATATGTGTGTGTGTGTGTGTGTGTGTGTGTGTGTGTGTGTATGTATATGTATATGTTTATGTATTTGTGTTTTATTTGTGCTGATAAATAAATAAAGGGAGACCAGTATAGATCTATTTCAAGCTATTTAGCTCTCATCTTACTGGAATTCGAACCTGTGCTGTATTGCATCTTAGGCAAACGTCTTAGCCATTATGCCACAGGTCTCCTCCTTATCAGCTGAATGTATTTATGTATTTGTAGCTATATATAGATGGATGGACGGATGGACAGACAGATATAAAACAGTCAGAATATTGTGTAGTTTCAGGACAAAATATAATCTTTGCAGATTTAGAGTCACTTTGTTTCTCACAAGAAGGTAATGTTGCTATTTAAGCACTTCTTTTGCAAACATTGCAACATGAACAGAAGTCCTGTGTTTCTGCCTACATAATCAAATGACTATTAGTTTTTTCCTTTTTGTAGTATTAAAAGTAGTTATCAATAGGTATTTTGTTAGAGGATGTTACATGCAGGAATAATGTAATTTAGTCTGCTGTAAACAGAGGTCCTCTGCCTCTAAGCTCTGGAGTTGTATTAGCACTGTACAATCTACAGGTCAGGTCATAACCTTGAACTGAATACAAAGAACAAATTGAACTTTTCAGATACATATTTCAGCATAGGAACAATCAAAGCAATTCCTTGTACACTGCTTTCCTAGTTCAGATTTTCTTTCTTTTTTTACTGCCTTAGCAATATTGCACTTTTCTGGGATCTTGGAGAATCCTCTCTAGATGTTTAGCTTGCACACTGCAAGAAATACTGAACTTACCTTTACATGTCTTCCCATCAAGCTGAAGAGTAAAGCCAATAGGACAACTGCAGTGGACGCCTGTTGAAGTGTCCTTACAGGTACGATCACAGCCACCATTATTTACTGCACAAGTTTCTAAGGAAAAGGAACACAATTTGGCATTTGCAGAAAAAAAATACTAGAACACAATTGGAAATGAGATATTTTTATTTATCCAACAGAATGAATTCTAATCAAATTCTAATGTTAAACAAACACATCCAGCACTTTTTTCAGAAAGGTTTGAGCCATGGATGTCTTGGTGATCTCTAAACCAAGTTCAAAGAGCACCAAAAATTCCAGAGACATTATGTGACAGATAACTTCAGTTTTAAACATTAAAAAAAATCAAGATAGGTTAACTATAAGGAGAATTACCCACAGATGAGTATTCAGTTTGGCTTCCATGGGAATCTGAGAAAATCTGTACTGGATCAGGCCAAAGTTTCTATCCTACAAACTGGATTTAATTAACGGTTCCCATGTGTATTTCCTAATGACTGATATTCAATGGTTAGTACTTAGAAGCATATTACTTCTAATAACATTATACCAGTGGTGGGTTGCTACCAGTTCGGCTGAACTGCCAATAGTAGCTTGGCGGCTTGGGTCAATGGAACCGGCAGCGACTCAGGCCTGCCACGCTCCCATATTGGTTGTCCCAGTGGCGTCATAGGCACATCCATCTTGGTTTTAGCTTCTGCGCATGCGCAGAGCAATTTAAATTGTATTGTGCATGGAGATGCCATGCACATTAAACGTGCACGCGTTCCTGGGCAAACCAACAGTAGTCTCTGCTGGAACCCACCCCTGCATTATACCTACCAAAATGATACATAGTACTCTAGTTTCATCACATGGGCTTATAAAGACATTTAAAAGCAGCATAGTAAGCTCACAATTTCCTGACTTCTGTTTATCAAATTTTGAATGCTACAGACATCTGGTTGCTGTTTTAGATATGTATACAATTCCACTGATGTACCACTAGGATCCTTTTATTATATATAACATCCTATTCATCAATATTCAGGTCTAATGAACATCCTTTTCTTCTAAGTTTGTTAAATGAAACATTCATTGTAGGCAATGTTCAGTTCTTCCTTCAATGATGTCTAGAATTCAACCTTCCCAAAATAGCTACAATCCCAGGCTGTTGTTTTTATCTGAGGTATCTATATATTTTCTACATATCAATTTGTTTGTTGGGACACATCCTGCTCATTGTCATAGCATTTTATCTGCAGCAAGTATACTTGATTATTCCTCATTGTATGTCAATATCCCACCTAATCTTAGAAAACTAGGTGGGACAATAGCTATATACTGAGAAACAATCAAGTAATTTTGACTGACTAATTTTCTCCTGCAATATCCTCCATAGTTTGCTGCTTTTTTAAACCATATTTTATTAAATTTCTACAAATAATAAAACATTTAAAAATATTTGTAATGTATCAAAGAAAATAAGAAATTAATTTTTATTTTCATTCTCTCTTTTCCATTTATTCTTTGCCTCTCCTTATTTTTCATTCCCATTTTTTCTTTTCTTAATATCATTCTTTGAGAAATTTAATGGTATAACTAAAAAAGTTTTTTCCAGAAATATGAATTAGCTCTATATGTTTCTACATATTTGAAACAGAAACTGCAACTGTAATTAACAAATAGCACTGTATCACTATGAAAAGTTTTTCTGAATATATTACATGCCAACAGGCAAAAACAGAATTTGAGAAGCTCTGCAGTCGCAGGAACAATTAGTATCTAACTGTATTGAACTGAAAGCATGTAGAAATTGCATTAATTTCATTAGGTGGAATAAGAATTTTCTTAGTAGTGGTTGTTATTCGTGCTATTCATACAGCAAAGCTTGGAAATCTCTTACAAATAATTATCAGACCTGAACATCTCTTTACCCATAAGCAGTCGCCGCTTCACTCGTTTGTCTGCATCAGCTCCTGCCGTAACATTGTTTTCAGAGATTTCTGTGGTTGCTTCTACTCTTTCTTAGTACGGAAAAGAAAAGAAATATCAAATAATCAGGCAAGGAATAAAAACGAATACATTTTGGTTAAGAAAATAATTATCTACCTGGTAACTTTGAAGGGATTTTCATCACTGTCATATGACAGACTTTATCTTTGCTTGAAGTATAAACCCCTATTTACCTGGTTTTAACCTGGCATGTTGTTTTAACCCAACCTTTGTTATTTGTCATGCTATACAGCTTAGCCTATGGTGTAAGCCCCATGGATTATGATATCAGTAAACCATATTAAGTAATCCTGTGTGGCCCAACTCAAGCATCTCTATTTGATACACACTATGTAAAAGAAAAGAAATTATTATCCAAAATGAAGGATAGTAGAAAGTAAGTTTTTTTTCTGGCTCAATTTTATCTGGTAAATGTGTTTTTAACTCAAAAAACCTTCTTAGGAGATAATGAATTTCCCTTTGCTTATAAACTGTATTTTCTTACAGCAATCTGGCCATATTGGGCTCCCCCCACTGCCATAAAAATGGTGTTCTTTCCTGCCAAAGTTTTCAGATTACTCTTTTGCAACTATTTTAAGAATCCCCTTCGTGCTCTTATTACACTGATGATCTCCTTTGTCATACATGTATTATAGTCAATAAGCATCAAGTTTAATTTACATAAAGTACCTGATACAATGTATGATTACTTGTAAAATTTATCAACAGTAGGCTGGACAATCATCTCTTAGGGATGCCACAGTGGATTCCTGCACTGGGCAGGTGATTGGACTGGGTGATCGCTAGGATCATTTCCAATTTTTAAATTTTGAGTCTATGGTGTAATGCCAAATAGAGGATTTCTTGATATGTTGATATTTTAATCAATTTAAATATTTAATCTTTAAGGCGCCCTGGTGGCCCAGTAGTGCAGGCAAACTCTGCCCACAGCCTTGAGTTCGATCTTGACAGGGTTCAAGGTTGACTCAGGCTTTCATCCTTCCGAGGTTGGTAAAAGGAGAACCCAAATTATTGGAAGCAATATGCAAATAAAGCTTCTACATTGTAAACCATCCAGAGTGCTATAAAGAACTATGGGTCAGTATATAAGCCTAAATGCTATAACTATCAATTCTTCAAGTGAAAGCACCAAAGTTCAAATTCACTGCTTATGTCTGAAAAAGGTATCACGTTAACAGCATTACAGTACAAATAATGTTTACTCCAACCTAATCTTTGACTGAAATACAGTATATAATGCCTAATATATAACACTTAGTTTATTCATCATATTAATTACAAGTTCATTCTACCCTTGTGACAAGAGAATTTAGAATAGCATTTCTAATGTTTTCAACCATAGCAGAGCTTCTAAAGTATTGGAAAAGTTCTTTAAATTCCAGCGAGATATTCAGAAATGTATCTAGTTTGAAAGTAACCCATGCTGAACTGTATAGAACAAGCCAAACATCAGAAGTTGACCATAGGGAATGTTTATGACATTTTGTGTTATGCCACAATATGTTTGATGATAATCTCTATTTCATAAAATATTTCATAACATTTTCCAAATTTCATTTCCCTGGATTTTGGATGCATCAGTAAATCAGCCCATTTGAGGTACCTTGGTTCAAAAATTGCTACCTTGCAATGCACCATTTTGCCCAATTAAAGGCTACAAACCTAACAGTTTTAATAGTCTATAAATTCTCTATTATTTTAAAAGGGAATATTTTAATTCAGGGGTTCACAACCCCTGGTCCATGAACTGGTACCAGTGTGCAGCCCATTGGGAACCAGACCAAACATCCAGCGGGTAACCATGCAATTTGCTCATATGTGGGATTAGGTTGTGTGCACAAAACCAGTCCCTTCCCTCCCCTGCCTGCCGCCACCACAGCTGAGCCAGAAATGTTGGGGAAAACCTTTGGTGTTAATGGAAATTTGTATTAATTAGTCAGGAGCATCATCAAAGCCCATTGTTATGTGCATGTGCTGTTATGTGACTAACCCCAATCCAACACATTTCTCAGTGGTAAAATTCAATTATTTTTTACTATCGGTTCTGTGGGCGTGGCTTGGTGGGCGTGGCAGGGGATCTCCATTCCCTCCCCACTCCTGGGGCCAGCCAGGGGTGGTATTTGCCGGTCCTCCGAACTACTCAAAATTTCCACTACCGGTTCTCCAAAACCTGTCAGAGCTTGCTGAATTCCACCCCTGATGTTTCTCATTTGTAAGCAAACTGTTTGGATTTTCTGCAATTTTTAAGTGAACTGAGATATATACATATATATTTACTGAGAGAACTGACTCATTCAGAAACTATTACATGTTTATTTACAACCTGTCTACACATAATGTAGCAGAAAAGTGAGATACCAATACATGTTTTTCCATTGGCATGCACTGTGTACTCTGGATGACATCCACAGAGAGGCCCATCTTCTGCATCTTCACAACTGTGCTGGCAGCCTCCATTTCCATGATTGCAAGTCACTGGAAAGTAAAGATCCAATTAAACTTCTGAAGTATTTATAAAGTATATATATATCATTCTGAGGTCAGGACCAATCCTGAGCTCAGGACCTCTCCCCTTTGAATGTTGCATCTTTGAGTCCTATATGGTTGTTGGCCTATGAACTATTTTAGCAGAAAAATTATCTATCCTTGTGACATAATTCCCAAATGAATATTTATTAAATGCAAGGGCAGGAACAAAATTAAAGAATAACAGAATAACCGAGTTGGAAGGGACCTTGGAGTTTTTCTAGTCCAACTCCCTGCACAAGCAAGAGACCCTATACCGTTCCAGTCATTGGCATTCTTTCTTTTAACAATTAATATAAGGCAATTGAATTAATTATATTTTTGTATTTATGAATTTATATGGCTGCCCGTTGCATATGTCCTAAGAAGTGACCCTTATACTTACTATATGTTATACTATACGTAATAATAAATTGTTAATAATTGATATTAATAGTTAATAATAATTACCAGTATTATTAATAATAAATAGCTATTTAGTTATCTAATACTAAACATTAAATTTTAATTCCATTGATTTACATTGTATAAAATTAATGTGTCAATAAAAACCAAGTTATTGTAGTAATGTCTACGGGGATTCTTATCATCAAGGTAATGGTTGTCCCAAAGGTGATTTTTCAAGAGGGCACTGGACTTTCTTTGAAGACGTTTCGCTCCTCATCCAAGAAGCTTCTTCAGCTGAAGAAGCTTCTTGGATGAGAAGTGAAACATCTTCAAAGAAAGTCCAGTGGCCTCTTGAAAAATCACCTTTGGGTTATTGTAGTAATGTAACAGGCATATTTTTACTTCGAAATCAAACCTAATATTTAAAGATAGCCTTTTCTCTCAGTCATCAGCTTCCACTTAAACCTGCAAGGTTTAGTATCAGTATGACACTGTGGTTGAGGTTTTCCCTTGCCCACACTTTGAATATCTGTTGATATTGCACACACATATAAAAGATATGGGACTTCAGTCAGAACACTATATCCATCAAGTTACAGACCTCCTGTGGGCACAGCCCTGCTCTTGCCTAAACTGCATGGTTATTAAATATCGCAGTGCTATTCCTGCCAATTCAAAAATAATGCTGCTTAACTTAATTGAGTTATAGTATAGTTGTAGATTAATTATTTGATTAGAAAATCAACCAGAAGACATAATACTGAATTCAAGATTAGACACCAAGTTATTTTACATGCTATTGGCTACTGAATTCTATTTCAAAATAGAATAGAATAAAATATAGGATTAATTTGGTTGTTAATTTTAATTTAATTTTTAAAATTTTATTGTAAATATCAATTGGGGTTTTTTTGGATACTTTATTTAATGTCCCTTTTAATTTTTGTAATATGTGTTTTATTTTATGTTGTACGCCGCCCTGAGTCCTTGGGAGAAGGGCGGCATATAAATCCAATAAACCTAAACCTAAACTTAAAAGCTCTAGTTGAATTCAGTTAAAATTCTACAAAGAAAAACAGAGTTGGAAGAGATTTCTTCTACAAATAAAGACTTGCAGTCAAACACATTTCTAATGCATGCCATCTACTGCACACTATCAATCATCTATGCCATCTGCTGCATCTGATAATCATTAAAATTATCATAAGGCAAAACTTTAGTGAGCAGAAGTGAACAAAAACCAAGTGAACAGTGAAAATATTTTAAACCAAGAGATGATCAGATGAGGGTAAGAAAGATGCTTAGCAATTCGTTCTGATCAGAAGGGCTGCATAAGAGTCAGGTAGGTGTAGAATGTTGCATACAAATGCAGTCTCTTTGGTTCCTGGCCAGTTCAAATCCAGGTCTGCATTCGCAGTCCACTCCTCCTTTTGGCGCTTCTTTGCAGATATGGGCACAACCATGATCCTTATTCATGCAGCTCACACCTTCTACAAAACAGTCAAGGTGGATGTATCAGTATTCTCTGAGTTTTTAAATATAATCAACAGATTTATTTATGACCATTTAAGAATTAATTGCGTCATGAGACAATCTATCATATTAAAAAAGGAATAAAGCCTATATAGCAAGAGTAGAAGTATAATATGAAGCACCCTCTTCAAAGTTTTACCAAATTTACAAATCTGTTATAATTTTTAAAGGGAAAAACGGCAAAATGGGCCATTAATTGTGAATTGGTATTACCTTCACAATGTTTCAGGGAATAGGATAAGCTGAGAGAGAAGAGTTAGAAGATACAGTAAGCAGAAGATGGATCCAACAGAACTCTAGAAGTTCAATAAACTTAAAGAATACCAACATGGTTACTACCATATATGTACATACATACAAAAGGCATATATATGAGTGAGACTTCCCCTCTCAAGATTTTGATGGATAGGCAACATTATGGTCAGTCTTTAACTTGAACCAGATAAGCATATCTAATTTTGAAAAATTCATTTACTGAAATTTTGGTCTTCTCTAAAAGTCTTGCTATTGATTCATGAACTTAAATGTAAAATTAGGGATAAAGTATCCCTAAAATTCATCCAGATGCCCGCTAAACATGCAGAAACATACCCACCATATAAAGAATGAAGCAGCTTGTTCTTTCCCAGTCTAAGATATGTGTACAACCTACTGGCATCTTCTACAAACAACATTTACCCAGGGAAAGAGTGCTACTGATATATTGTTAGCTACAGAAGGGGGAAATAATTCATTCTAAATATGTAGATACATGGAATTATCTCTTGTTCTGATTTATTTCTTATAATGGGGTCAATCAAGCAAACACATATTTCTTAAAGTCTAGAGTTTTTGTTAATATTGGCATTTAATAAAGGAAATTCACATTAGAGACTTTCTGTAATTTCTGATGACCATAAAAAGCATGTTTGTAATACTGAACAAATTTCGTAAAAAATCTTAATAAAGATTTTCTTTGGGGATATTTTGCATTATAAGAAAAGTGGCTAAATAAATTAATTAATAAATATTTACTCTCTGTCCATTAAATCAAATTACACACACACACACAGAGAGAGAGAGAGAGAGAGAGAGAGAGAGAGAGAGAGAGAGAGAGAGAGAGAGAGAGAGAGAGAGAGAGAGAGCCAACTTCCCATATGCCAATAAAATAATAAATATTCAATGTGGAATCATTAATATAATCTGGGGTAGATTTCACTGTGAATTTACAATTAGAAAAATAATTACCTTGAGATGGATCAGTCTTTTTTTAATATTTCACATTTGCGAACAATTATCCTTGTTTAATATAAGAAGGAGAAGCAAGTCTCCCAGATCAAACATTAAGAAAAAAGAAACAGATTGTATGAATTCTGGAAATGAAGAGTTTCCAATATATTATCCGCTTAACGTAAACCTTCAAGGCATGGTGTGTATGTGTGTGGACATCTTCTAAATCCACAGGGCATTCAAAAAGATGCTGACATATGTGGGACTAATTTACAGACTACCTAATAATGATGCATAATTCATTTTGTGTATCAGGAGCTCCTCAAACCAGCTTGAAAACAGTAGTTAAGACAATGTATAATGCATTCCAAATCAAGCTGTCCTATGATTTGTGAATTAAGTTTTGTTTGCTATTACTTTCCTTATCCCAAGAAAAACTGTGACTAACATCATGCCCTCAGAAAGTTCTGCAGCATTTTAATAAACCATGCTTTCATTCCAACATACTTCTTCTAAAGTAACTCTGACTAACAAAGGGATAGCTGCTATATTGCTTTGATTATTCTGCTCTACTGGTTCCTTGATTCCTTTCCCACAGTGAGAAAACTAGGAATACAATGATGTCTTCACCCCATCAAAAACACAAAAGACACAAAAATCCATATCAAACCCGCAAATCACTATTATGTTGTCAGTCCTTCATTTTCTATTACAAAGGATCACAAATTAGTCTTATTAACTCTTCTGTTGTTTGGCATTTGAAAGGTTCAACACGCCAGTTAGCTAAAAGACATATAAAAAGCATTAAGAAAATGAACAGCTTAGCTTCTGCTAATAGTGTGATTTCTTTGTGAATGTTCAGACACCAAGGGTTGTACTGTATAAGCAACTACTTTGGCAAAGTTTACTGAAGACGGAAACTTTTCAAATAGGGAATTCTGTTTTACTCAGTTCTGAGTAAAGAGAAAATGTAAAATTATTCCCCTGAAAGTTGTAGTGCAAAAGAAATAGACGCATGCTGAAATACTCCCTTTTACTATTCACAAACATATTATCACCATTAAATGCCTTTTGATGAAAGTTTGTAAAATTAAGAATTAAAGTTTTTCATATAAATTAAATAACATTATAGAAAAAAAGAATAACAATTCATCCTTTCAATAAAGACCTTAAATTTTGAAATTCAAAAGATACCACCTTTATAGTGATAACATTTTCATGAGGAGTAAATTATGCAACTACCAATTAAGTTAATTTTCTATCACAATCTTGGGCTTTTGTAAAATGAATGAAAATCCTGTAAACTGATACACAGCAAGTAGTGAGTTTGATTATGCAAATCATCATAATCTGCAATATTTACAGCTGCTCCATATCACTAGCAGGTTTTATCAATACAAGCTAATTTTATGTGCTCTGAAGATTCTTCTCAAAAAACTTAACAATGAAAAAATTATCTAGAAAGGAATTCTAAAGTATTCTGATCAAATATCAATCAAGCTCATTAAATGAAATGACATTCATAGTGATCCCACAATAATATAAAAGGAAATGTAACTTTTATGTCTTTTTAATTAAAATTAAATTTGAGAAGAGATTTCACAAAGGTTTCACTATAATCTCCTAGTCAGTATCTTCAGGCTCTAAAGTGAAATGGCTAAAATTATCTCTTCAAACATTCTTTAAAAGACCAACTATCAGAGTATTTGAAATGGGGTACAGTCTATTCAGATAAAAAAAAGGTCACAATTCTTTTTTATAAACATGGTTTATATTACATGATTATTTATTTAAGCAAACTGTTTTTTAATCCTAGTGTTTTGGGAATGCTCATTGAGGAGAAGTTTCAAGGCTCCATCACCAAGTAGTTGTTCTCTGAATTCCTGTTTTGAGCATGTAAACCACAATTGCTCCAACTAGCCTTTCAAACGAGCATTAGAAATAGAAGAGAAGAGTGCCTTCATACAGAGGAAGAAGCAGAAGATATACATGAGGAATGACTATCAATTCTGTACTCCTTTTCCCCACTATCTCTGAGACTGTTGCCTGATTTTAATGGCATCCATTTCCAAGATATAATAAAAATGAATTCCTAGCCATGCATGCCCAAGTCACTGAGAAGTTATTGTCTAACGCATACCTGTCAGTACAAAATCTGCATAATGTAATAGTTAAAAACAGGCAAGAGACAGGCTACAATTTCCCTTTTATCAATAGCATATCATGTAACATCTTTAGAAACTCCACGTACCGTATATGACCATTCCATATTACAACATGATTTAAAAAAAATGATTCTGAATGGTGGGGAAAAGGAAGGGCCTCGTGCATGTTTTTGTAAAAATGAAAAGGCTTATACCTTCTGAACGATGAATGCAGGTGTGCTGATTATCGCTGAGGAAGAATCCTTCATTGCAACGACATTCATAGCTACCCACTATGTTGATACAAGCATGTTGACAACCTCCATTATTTACCAAGCATTCATCCATATCTGAAATACATGTGGTACCAGTTTTGAACCATCTCCATGTAAGCTTGTAAGCCACCCAAAGACGCTTTGAAGCGAAATGGGTGGTAAATAAATAAATATATAAATCTATACCAGCTGCACACAAATAATCCATTAAGCAGTAATGAACTAAATATCCAGTTGGTTGGATAGTTTCCCTATTTTTCCTATCACTCCTCTTCAGACTCAATAAAACTTAACACTACAGATATTTATTTTTCTAAATAAATACAAATACATTAAGCTGCCTACTAAAAATGTTTTTCTAATTTTTATAATTTTATGAATAAAAATGCAAATATTAATCACATTTTTCCTTGAAGCCTATTTAAAACAAGTATCTTAATCTCAGGACTAAATTACAGGATAACGACAACAATGACAACAACGATAGAAATGATAACGACGACAACAATAATAATAGAAAAAAAACCAAGGCCAGATCAGCATCTATTTAATTAAATTATTTCCTGGTATCCCCACCATCACTGTTTGTGTGATGCATTCATTCTTTGCCTGCCTAACAATAGATATATAAATCCACAAAGTAAATATCCATAAGTACTAAAGATATATTTGGAAAAAGTATAGCTGTATCAAAAATCCTTATCATCTTTCTCTCCTGGCTACCTTTTCTTGTCCTTTGAATCTAGAAGAAAGCTATGGCCTATTGCTCTGCCTATTGTATGCAGCCTCAAATCCATTTTGTTTGGCTAAAGTAGGAGAATAACAAATACCAACTTCATTCTTTGATGTGGAATGGAAGTGGGATTTGGATGGTGGGGACAGGTAGACCGAATCTGCCTTGTGGGCAGAAAACTCCCCGTCAAATTCCTCTTAATATGACCCAACACTATAAACATAAACCACACTGGGCTTTGGACTCTCTTATTCCTTTTCAACTGTGGCTTGGGCTCAAGCAGAAAATGGGAAATTTCCACTTTAGATTCACTACAGTTCAGATGTCGTTTAAAACTCACTTAAAATTCAGCTATGATTAGCTGAAATAAACAACCATTTACAAATTTATATTGTCATTTTCTAAATCATGGTTAAGATTAAATAAGGGTCATCTGATTTTGATTAACAAATTGTGATTAATATACAGTGTAAATGTCTGATATTTTCATAAATACATGGAATAACAAAAATGCTATTTTCCTGAATTAGCATTTTACTTTGTCCAGGCTAGGGGTGTCAAACTCGATTTCATTGAGGGCCGCATCAGGATTGTGTTTGACCTTTGGGGGATGGGGTGGGAATGGCCATGGTGGGTGTGGCCAGCTCAACGTCACTCGTTTTGGGGGCACTTGTGGTGGCCCAAGGGCTCCCAAATTCCAGCTGCAACATCCTCCTGCAACCTTCTGCCAGCAAAAATGGATTTTGGTAGGCGCATACGCTGTCCTCCCGAGCTCTTTTTTCACTGGCAGAGGCACTGTGGGCCAATCCTGTGGTGTTTCCAGGGCAGCCCCATGGGCCAGATCCAAGCACCCTGCAGGCCGCATCCAGCTCCCGGACCTTGAGTTTGACACCTCTAGTCTAGGCACACAATAAATTTGTCAGTACATAATAACCTTTTGGGACACATCCTTACCAAGACAATTATGACCATCCTGAGCCAACATGAAGCCATCATAACATATACAGCGATAATTGCCTGGAATGTTGAAACATTCATGGACACATCCTCCATTGAACTCATTATCACATTCATCAATATCTGGAGAATAAAGCAAAAGTCAGCATGATAGATGCCTACTTGATTGTTATAGATAAGTTGTGACAGGATTGAATTGTCTATATGTTACTAGTAAATGTTCTTAAATCATTTCAACTTTGCAAATAGTGTATTTTTTTCAAAAATAAATTATCTAAATCTTCTCATGTCCAATACTGCTTCCATTTTGTTTGTTTCTTTCTTTGTTTATTTGTTTGTTTGTTTGTTCAGTGTATATAACTGCCCATCTTACATATGTGATTCCTGGAAGCTCATGGAGTTAAATACATACAAAATACAAAAAGTAACAAAAAGGATGACTACAAAAATCCATTAAAACAATAAAATCTATTAAAAACCATAATCTGCAGGGAAATGCAATCCATTTTATTAATAGAATAAGCATTTAGTAGGCTCCACACCACTACTTCCAGACCTTGAGGTAAGTTGGCAAAGCCACATCTTAACTTCCTTCCCGAAAACCAATAAGCTCAGGGCTAATTTGATCTCAAGGGGGACAATGGTGCCATATCAGAAGAGGGTCTCCTCTTGGGACTTATCAGATATAATTCCTTAGAAAATAGGACCTTTAACTTGCCTGTTATGCTGGACCTTAGGGAGCAGGTAGATGTACCCTGGGAGAGAAAGTCCTTCAAATAACCCAGCCCCATGCAATGTAGGGCTTTGAATTAAACCTGGAAGCAAATTGGTGCCCAATGCAGCTTATATAGCAGTGGTGTAATATGTGCTGATCTAGGAACAAGCATTTTGCACCAGCTGAATCTCCTGAATACTCTTCAAGGGCAGCCCCATGTACAGCCCATTAGAATAATCCATGCAGGAAATGATCAGGTCATCAGTAACTGAATATAGAGTCTGCTGATCCAGTAATAGGGGCAACTGGTCCAAGGAGTCTGAGGATCTCTTTTCAAAAACTGCCCAACAATCTCTCAGAATGGTGTGGTTATGATCTAGAGGTTCAGCATAATGCAAGAATTAGGCAAAATTTATGAGTATCACTTGCTTCTTTGGAGTTAAATGACAGTGACCAGTATGTCTGGTTAGTATTACCAGATTAAAGACATCCCCTCCCAATAATCTGACCCAATAGTTTCATGAGGATGTTGAAGAGCGGGGGTGGGGGTGGGGGAAGAGACAGAATTCTACATGACTTTCTAAATGCCAAACAAGTCTCTCCCAGAACAAACTTTTTGACTCAGATAAAACCCCAAGGTAAAAACCCCATGTGGCCCACTATACAATACTATATGATCAATTATAGCAAAAATAGGAGAAATAGAAAGTTTTAGTTTCTATATAAGTCATTCACCATGATGTTCAAAGCAGTCTCAAAATTCTATCATGGTCTTAAGCCTAACTGAAACAGAGCTACTTGATCCATGAACATGAAATGGTGAGAATCACCTTTTCAATCACCTTTTTACAGAAATAAAGTTCTTCAGATTTGCCTAAAGCTGACCTAAGTTGAGAGAGTTTCTCTGGTGTCAGAAGAGGATTTCATCATACAGTCGAAAATGCAATGTAAGTATACATATGTATCAATAGGTATATAAAATAAAACATGAAGATTCTGAAGCTTGATAACCTTTCTCTTCATATTTATCCTGGATGCTGCAATTAGAATAGAGTTGGATCAGTAATGCAGGCATACATACAGCTCTCTGCCTATGTCCTCTTCATCTTTGCTTATTATGTCCTCTGGGTCATCTTCCCTTCTTCAATCAATGTAATCTCTTATGCCTTGCCCTCCCACCCAGTCTTAAAGAATCCACTCATCAATTGACCAACAGTTTGCAGGAAAACAACTTTAGTATGTTTGAATCAGCTGAAAACAGCTGTTTTTTCTCTCACGCACAAAAAACTAAAGGAGCTCCCTAAATGTTCCTCATTTTAATTTTTGCTGGTGTTTCAAAGACCGTTGATGATGTTGGTGGGTGGGAAGTCAAACATCATTCTGAGTAAGATTATGTTTGCTATTGATTTAACATGTTATATGAATAATCATTTATAACTCTGTATTATGTGTTAACACAATCATTGTGGAGTGTTTACCTAATCATTGTTAAAATAATTTAACACAATATGATTCTGTATGTGCATACATATATTGCAAAGAGTATACAGGTAGTTCTTGACTTACAACTGTTCATTTAGTGTCCGTTTGAAGTTACAACACTGAAACAAGTGACCTATGACCATTTTTCACACTTATGATTACTGCAGCACCCCAGTGGTCACATGATCAAAATTCAGATGCTTGGCAACTGGTTCATATTTATGACAATTGCAATACCCTGTCAGAAAGTTATCACTTTCTGACAAACAAGGTCAAAACTGTCTCACTTAATAACTAAAATTTTAGGATAAATTGTGTTCATAAGTTTAAGACTACCTGTCTATCTATCATGTTGACCAACTGGAATGTTTTCATGCAAAGAAATAAATCACTTCTTTAAAAAAATGTGTTCTGAATTGAACCTGGAATAGGATTTTAAACATTTTGCAATCTAGAAAAATAACTATATGGCTTGAAAAGTGGAAAACTGAACAGCCCATTCACGTCTACTGGGGAAAGTACCTGAAATGCTTATAAAATACAATCAAGAGATTGTTATAAACCATGTTTTATGATAGTGTGATGAGGTAAAGTTTAAATTACCATATTTTTTGGAGTAGAGGCGCTCTGGTATAAGATGCACATAGCTTTTAGGGAGGAAAACAAGGGAAAAATCTGCCTCCCAGCAATTTGCCTCCTTACAGCAAACAGCAAACAGTACCGACAATATAAACTGTTTGTGGTGTTACATTTCAGATTATACTTCTATAGATACTGTTAAAATTGATGTGGCTTTCTGGAAGTATATGTTATTCTCTGCTATGTGCATCTT